ACCCGAACGATTCAATGGTGCCAAATATGCTATATTATACGTAATAGCCTGGGAGCCAGCAACCGTTTAGAGTTAGTCATTTCACAAAAGCTGAAAATTCTTCCTGAGCTTTATTTGGGATAACTAGTAAGGGAATCAGCCTCCAGCTGGCACACTTCCGGGGGGTGTAGTTGCAGCAGCGTCCCAAACACGTAAAATTATAATAAAAAAAAACTGATATCACAAAAGCTGAAACTTTGTTAACATGTTGATTATCATACAAATAGATCAAAAAACGTATCCAGCCGAACTTATACTGGGGGATTATGCTCCAGCTTTTCACGTAAAGAAGTTAAAAATATGCGCTGAGTAAACTAATACCGCAAAAGCTGAAATTTGGTGAACAAATAGTTAAATTAATAACATAAACGATGAGAACATCCAGCTTTACATTGGGTGGGGGAAAAGTGCCCAGCTGATGCAGTGAAATACGCTGCGCATGGATATCTCGGGCGCATCGTATCTTTGACTGCATCAGCTGGATACTTTGCCCTCACTAAAATGATGAGCTGGAGGTTTTTTTTGTTAACCCATTATTTCAACTATAGGTACACCAAATATCAGCTTTTGCGGTATCAGGTATCTATAGTTTTCTCAAACTCAGCGCACATGCATGCATTTATTTAATGATAAATACGTAGGTATTACATTTCTGATCTGAAAGAAGATAATTAAAAATAGGTTTACTATCAATTTTTTTTTTCAGTATTCCTTCACAAAAAATATACTAACAATACAAATTAACAGACATAGTGAACTAGTGTGTGTAACAAAATCAGATATCAACAATGTTTTCAGATTTCGGATCCTTCGGATTCATCGTCGTCGTTCCCATCATCGCTTTCATGATCGCTGCAATTGATGCTGATCCACGAAATATCTTCGTTATCATCTGTAACCATATATTGTATATTAACTATATATTGAAATATATAGATGATATTAATATAAAAACATTCAGAGCAAAATCTTAATGCAAATCAGATTATGAATATCAAAAAAAGTTGACATGATATACAAGATTGCTATAAATATAGATTAAACCAAAGAGAAAATATTCAAAAAATTTCTGACCTGTAGGACTTGTTTGATCCTCATTGATAGTTATATCACCAAGTGAAGAGGGAAGCTGCTCACCTTCGAACCATTTGAAGTGAAATTTTCCCTCCTTCTCTTTCCAGCCAAAATCAGTCGGATGTAATGCCGTTGGAACCTGAAGATGAGCGTGTGCCCAAATATTTGCTATATATGTTGTACGCAGCAAATGTTGGTGCAGTTCAATTTTGCAGGGAGGCAGAGCTGATCCATCGATGTTATTCTTCGGTAACCGGAATATGTCATCGTTTTGTGATATATTGTAGGTTTTCAAAAATGTTTCAACTCGTGCTTCATTCACTTTGTTGATTTTTTTAAATCCATACATTCGACATACATATTCTTCTGTAGTGTTGAAGGTATTCTCCAACTCGTCATCAGGTGCGTTGCTTAGTTTGATAAAATGTTCTATATATATTTCTGAGCTGTTTAAAATTTTATAGGGCCGGTTTTTTCCTTTCTTGAAAAATGACGGGTTATAGTCGCAACCCGTCAGGGCATGAAAAGCCGGAAGCGCTGCGCTCAATTTAGGGCCTAACGTTTCATACAATATACTAATGTTAATAAAGCGTTGATTATTACCAACTCCAGCTTCCATTGAGACTTTAACATTCGCGTTACTCAAGGCACTCATGTTAGAAAGCATTATAACGGCCACGTCAGTATCCGAGCATCTTATCGTGACATGTGCATCGTAATCTATTTGGCAGACGTGGAAAACGATCTTCGTATCTGCTTCTTCATGAGCTGGACATGTTGATGAAACATCGTGCGTCCTTTCTACGTGGCCATTATTTACTTTATATTTATAGCACTGATCATAATTGATAAAAATGGTTTTATTACCAATGAAAGGTGCTGCGGAATCAAGTGCCCAGTGCTGTATAATAAAATTCACTAACGCCTCTTTGAATTTAGCATTTTTCAAGTCATTACTGAAATCAGAAGAACGTATTTGATCTGCTCCCTCGATGTGGAATTGTGTGACTTGCATCCCTCTCAGAGAATGTTCACTATCTTTGATCGAAGGAAAAATATACCTATCAAAGGCGATTACTACAACTTCCGCATCATTCGAACAAAACATACTTAGAATTTTAGTGGATATGTTTCAGCTGATGCAGTCAAAGATACGATGCGCCCGAGATATCCATGCGCAGCGTATTTCACTGCATCAGCTGGGCACTTTTCCCCCACCCAATGTAAAGCTGGATGTTCTCATCGTTTATGTTATTAATTTAACTATTTGTTCACCAAATTTCAGCTTTTGCGGTATTAGTTTACTCAGCGCATATTTTTAACTTCTTTACGTGAAAAGCTGGAGCATAATCCCCCAGTATAAGTTCGGCTGGATACGTTTTTTGATCTATTTGTATGATAATCAACATGTTAACAAAGTTTCAGCTTTTGTGATATCAGTTTTTTTTTATTATAATTTTACGTGTTTGGGACGCTGCTGCAACTACACCCCCCGGAAGTGCGCCAGCTGGAGGCCGATTTCCTTACTAGTGATACTAAATGAAGCTCAGAAAACATTTTCAGCTTTTGTGCTTTTGGTCATTGAAAAAGGTCGCTGGCTTCCGGGCTATAATAAATTACCGAAAAATTTACTTCCTAGGAAGAAGATCCATTTGGGTCAAGTTAGGTTGGACTTTCTAGATAAGAGACTCTTATGCAGAAATGATATGTTCCATATATTATCCATACATATATTAGGCCGAGTTAAGGTAGATTGTTTAGAAGAAGTAGTCTCTTTTCTAATGCAGAAAGGGTATTTTCCTTCCTTATATTACTACGGAATTCAGAGAGTCATAGAGGAAAATAGTATAGCTAGACGCTTGTACCAGCCATTGTAGGCCTATGGACATTCTGTGTTACACCTACATTTGGCAACAGTGCATCATTCGGCTATGTTCGAGGGCTGTGGATACAGTCATGCCTATGTAGGGCATCGCCCTAGCTTCTCAGGTAAGGCACTAGGATGCCAATTTTTATCATTAAGATTATCGATGCATATATCATCAACAGGAAAATCCGGGTCAAGGTCAACGAAAGCATATCGGGAGATTTTCCACTCGAGACAGGTGTTCCGCAGGGGTCGTGCCTCTCACCTCTGCTGGATACCCTATACACGCATGATTAGCTCTCTACTGTGGCTATATATGCTCACTCGGACGACTCGAATATCGCCAGGGCACAGATCCAGATTCATCTGGACAGGGGAATCATACCGTACTTTGACGAGTTAAAGATCTGCATCAATAGTGCGAAGACAAAAGTCATTAACTTCCACAAAAAAGTCAACAACTCCAAGCTGAGCAGACCTCTGACCGTCAAAGGGGTTGAGGTGGCAGACACGACCACCGTGAAATACCTGAGAGTCAAATTGGACACCCGTATGAGTCTCAGGAAAATTACCAAATATTTAATCCAAAAGAAGATGTATCCCTTGTTATCCAGGACCTCCCCTCTCTCGCAGGAGAACAAGGTCCTGGTGTACAAGCAGATCATCAGACCTGTGATGACGTACGCGCGAGCGTACGCGTGTCCAGTATTCTGCAGTATCTCACCTACTCATATGAATAGGTTACAGGTGCTGCAGAACAAAGTACTCCGTATTAGTACCAATGGTGATAGATACTCTCGAGTGGCAGATCTCCACGAGAGATGTGGTAATTTGCCCAGAATCAGTGTATACATACTGAAAATAGCGAATAGATTCTACAAATACCACTTCGCTGGAAGTGACCTTACCCGGAATATCACAACACTTAGACAACACCATAACATCCAAAAAAAACACGGACTGATATATGCATCAACCGATGTGTTTAGGAAGCCTGAAAATCTATAGTCGGGAACATCCCCGGATGCTCGGACATGTCCGAGCCACCGAGGAGAGTCTAGACAGCACTATCTCCCAAGCATGAAAACAACAAAGTGTCAATAAATGACACTGAACTCGGGCAGAAGTGCCCATGTGGAAACACATGCGCACAACTGCCCGAGACAATCAAGAAGGGAGTTTTTTATTTTTCAACTTTATTTTTCCTCCAACACTAAGAAATCCTTTCCAATCTGATCGCGCACGAGCAACTCCCCCATCCCTTTGGGTACCTTCAGCGAGATTACCTATATAAAGGGCCTAGACCTAGGAGATAGGTCACTGCGACGAACACCTCACATATCCTCTCATATTCCTTGGCTAACACCTGCCACCTCTGCGTCAGTGGAGGAACGATCAGGCATACTCTCAGATATGCCAAAACTATATTATATTAATGTGATTGACATAATTATGTGCTGTACTTTTCAAAACACTGAAGATGAATAAAAGACTTTAATACATACTAGCCGTTCGATATCTGAAGTGAAGCAATGTCGAGCGCGGTTAGTACTTGGATGGGTGACCATTCGAGGAAACGCCGGCGTTAGCCCGTATATCTGTAGCGGAATACCATATCAATGAGCACGAGATATGGTACGGATATGCCGTCCATCGGAGGGGACGTTAAGCCGGCGGTCCCGAGGCCATGGATGTATCCCTACAAATGGTTGGAACACCAGAGGCATACAAATGTATTCTTTGTTGCACAAAGTACATTACTCAATTCTGATAAGCCTTATTGCATACTTATAGAATAACCTGTAAGGGGTGAGTTTCGGTCAATCTTCTTATTTTGTTCTCAGGAATTATGACATAATGTTGTTCAGATATTCCAGGGACACACTGTATGTACCACAACACACTTGCACCAGAAATATATTTCTTACAAAACATCCCAGTGGATAAAAAAAATGATAATAAATGTATCTGTGGATTGCTAATAGAACCTTCGAAAGCAACAGATTATGTAGATACTTACCTCATGTTCTTTCAGCCGTTCACCAATAATAGTCAGACTTTCTCCCAGGAGTTTCAAATGAGCCGCCACATCTATTCGTTTTATACCACTTACTCGGAAAGGGGCATCTTTCCCTCTAGGACTTGGAGGCGATATGGTGCTGTTTTCATAGTTTCCAAGAGTCAGTTGGTAGGATGATAGAGAAACTGGAGATGTCTTGCTTGGTGTCTTTTTAGAACCCGATTTTGAAGCACCTTTGAATAATGATTTATTGAAATGTGAGTATTGTTCTGAAAATAGGTATTTGTACATTGAAAATTATGTGTACCTACTTTCATGAAGAATGAATACCTTTATCTTTTCCTTTGAGTTTATCAGGTTTGACAATCTTCCCATCTTTGATGACCAGTTTCTTCTTAGTATTTGCATCAAGTCTTTTGAATCCTCCTTCATTATTGTCATAATCACTCTCAGATTCCACTGAACCTATGCTAGATTCGGTTGTATTGGCTGCCGGTTCATAGTCACTATTATATTCTGAACCACTTTCATCCATGTCAAAGTTTTCGTAAGGTTCTTCCTTAGGAAAAATCTAAACAAATGCACAATTGCCCAATATTTATAAAAGTTCACTAAACAATTGCATTTTGCATTGTTAATATGGTTGATATTCTGATAAAGATATAATAATAATAATAAGTGATAACATTTCTTGATACTGATGAATCACTTAATCATTATTGATTAGTGAATTCGAAATTCTTTGAAGTGGATATCAAGACAAAAATGTAAGTGTTACGTATAACAAAAAATATATGGTTTGTTTCGAAATTCACTTGATCTCAAAAATAATAATTGAGTACCTCAAATTATTATAAGAAATGTTATTGTTGGTATTATTTGGTAATTGACACTTTCACATGCATTTTATTGTTTACCTCATCATGTTTCAATTTTTTGGGTGAAGTTTCAAGGGACTCAGATTTTTTAGCTGGATGTCTCTTATTGAAAGATCTCTCGATTTCATCTGGGGATTCAAAGTCCATCAATTTTGAGGATTTTTTTCTCACTCTACCACTTCTTGAAACACCAGTTACTTCTAGGTCTACAAGGGAATAAATTATTAACTGAAAGAACACTGCAATAAATTTCAACCAAGAATGTTTTGAGACTCTCTTAGACTAACTGTCAACATAGGAGTGAGTACCTACTTCAGGAAAGCATTTATATTACGAATGGAAATAATATCTCAGTAATAGCCAGGAATACATTAATTATTGATCTTATTGTGTTCGGCTGTATTAGTATTTTGAGGGTCCTAGAGAAAATTAGACAGCTGTATTTCAACGTTGGAACCATTTTATAGATATGGAATAGCTATATACAGGGTGGCCGCATTTGAGTGTGCAACTTATGGGAATCTTTTTAATGAATTGTACAACCAAAATACAGATAGTGCCGAAAGTTGGTGCATGTTCGGTAGTCATTTTAGGTGCACTTAGAATGGTTGTAAGTCACACAGCATACAGGGTAGGTCAAAAAATATAAAAATTGCTTAAGAGTACAGTACCCTTATTTCAGAAAATTCAACAGAATGTTTTCGAGGAAAGTTGTTTACAATTAAAAGTAATGCCTAAATATCAAAACATGGTCTCCTCAGACATTTTTTAGTTTTTCAATTTTGATCGTTAATAATTTCCCAATTTGTAATATTTTAAATACAAAATGTGCACATTTAATGGGAGTTTCTGAATATGCATATTGTCATTAATGATGTTTCACCTTGTTAAAAATATGGTTTGCGAAATTTTAAAGTTTATCTGAATATCGTTGCAACAAACATGAAGTCTGCGATTCCCTGAAAAAATTTAAATCCAAGTTAATTGCACAAATATGCTTGAATTTGAACAAAGGTATGCTCAACTATTTTTTCATGATTAACTTATGAAAGTATTCAGGGTGAATATAAAAAAAAATATAAATTGGGAAATTATTCACGAACAAAATTGAAAAACTAAAAAATGTCTTAGGAGGCTATGTTTTGGTATTTAGGCATAACTTTCAATTGTTAACAACTTTCCTCGATGACATTTTGCTGAATTTTCAGAAATAAGGGCAGTTCACTATTGAGCAATTTTTATATTTTTTGACCTACCCTGTATGCTGTGTGACTTACAACCATTCTAAGTGCACCTAAAATGATTACCGAACATGCACCAACTTTCGGCACTATCTGTATTTTGGTTGTGCAACTCATTAAAAAGATTGTTGATATGTTGCACACTTAAATGACCACACTGTATATGGAATATAGGTACCTTATGATGTAGTGTATTTAGCTCGATATGTAGCTGGATATTCACTCACAACATGATGAGGAAGCTGTTAATACAGCATGATATATCCGATTTTGAAGGATAAAAAATGAGGCGAATGATTTGGAAAATACTAGCGATCTCACTAGAGATATTTTAGGCATTTATAACTTTAATTATAATTAGTATCAAATTTTTGAAGGCACGAACTCAATCAACTCGTGATACTAATAGTCAATGATCCGACTGCATGATTATTACGTTCATCAAATAATCAATGAAAATTTCATTTCAACTTATATTCATTAATAGAATATATTTTTACCGGGTTGCCTATCAAAATGTGGCCGCAAGTATTTTCAATTAAAATGTAATTAAATGATTTCCTAGAAAAAATGTCATTCATTTGTTTTTTAAATGAAATATACAGGGTGTTCCGTAATGACATGCTAATATTCAAGGGGGCGATTCTGACCCATTTTGAGAACAAAACTTCATATGAACGTATGCCGTAAACGTCCTAACTTTTGAGATACAGGGTATCAAAGTTGAAAATATGCATAGATTATTTTTTTGTCTACCCTGTATAACTTTTCGCGATGAAAAAATTCATTCTGCTATGTGACTGAAACGGTGCAAAAATTTCAAAATGTTACATACTGTGGTTATCCAGTAATTGATGTCTTGAATGGACTACTCAGCTTAGCATTTACATAAAAATTTGAAGTCTGGTCTAGTTTTTCCGTTTGTTCTCGAAAACAGAAAGTTCTATCAAGTATCAAACAAGGGGACCTTTTTTGTATAGAATTGAATAGCCTTTCATAGGATTTTATGGAATTTGGAAATCCTCCTTCGTTGCTCACTTCAAAGTAAAATATAAACAATATCCTCCAAACGGCGCCACTGGTATAGAAAATGAAAGTTTGTGTACATTAGAAAATGCACTTTGATGCCTAGAAGACATGTACCAAATTTGGTAAAGATGTCTACAATATTATCTCAGCTATTATTAAACAACTACTGATTTTTTTTCAAAATTTCCTCGCCCTGTATCTCAAAAGTTGAGACTTTTTAGACATACGTTCATAGGAAGTTTTTATACTAAAACGAGTCGAAGAATCACCCCCTTAAATATTAGCATGTCTTTAAGGAACACCCTGTATTCCACCTTACAGCTATGTATGTGAAAAACTTGAAAAGTTGCTTTGCGCACATGGCCGCAACCTCTTCGCAGCCCGGTATAAAATGTATCATTTTGTTACATTTATACGGTAGTTTTTGCGTTCATTGATCATTTTGCTATGAAATGGAAGCTATTTTTTCAGTGCATAATGGAATAACTCTGCCAATGAAAATATGACCTCATATAGGGGTTGCCAGCTGTTAAAGATATATATTAGACCGAAGGAGCATTTATATTTAGATTTAGAATTCAATCAAATTATGCAGGTATTTTTTTAGATAATCTGTTTGAAATCCGAAAACGTCCGCGAATTCCACTGTCAATAAAATGTCTTGATGCTATTTCTTTATGCGACTGAAGGATAACTTAAAAAATCACTTCTCAGCAAACACAGGAGATATCGCAGGGATGTAACAATTGCATTGTTATTTTTTATGGTAAAGCGATGTGTTTTTGCGATAAAACTACGATGTGATGCGAGATGTCATCGCAGTGAAACGTAAAAAAGTTCCCTCAAACATGGTGTGACGTGATAAAACACCATGCACTGAGTTCTGATGACACCTCTAATATTGATTATCTGCATTGTTGTGACTGAAATTATGTAGTGTGTCATGAGTGTCGGCGAGATATGTTACCAAACCAAAAATAGTTCTATAGCAATGTAAAGAGGGTTTGCGAATTTAGCTTCACTTTGTTGAGTAATGTATACTGATGTATTCAAATAGTAGAAACCATCCATATTTCTCGAAGTGGTCCAATTGATTTTTAAGAAACACAATGAAAGTCAGAAAGTCGGTCGACCACATAAAATTATTTAATAAGAGTGACTAGTTTCGGCCACAGGCCATCATCAGCCACAAAAATTGATGTATTGAAGCAGTACCTAGAAGAAATTATAGGAACAGTTGAGGAGTCAAAAAAGAGTCAACGTTATAGTTATACTAACCTCAGCAATACATATTAAGAATAAAAGACTAGGATAGGTAAAAACTCCAAATTATTATCGGTCCCGTAAATGCAATATGGATTTAAATCTGGAAAAGGTACAGTAAAGCCAGAAACATATCATAGTTGGAGGAGTACATTGGCATATTTTTTCAAAAAATTTCATAAAATTCTCATGAGTTCTAATGTCCAGAAACCTATCCCATCTAGGAATGCACAATGTTCTTCAAACATAATAGGGATTCCCTTTTGTGTGGCTCAAAGAGAAATTATACATATATATATAATTATGCATGGGACTCCCTGAATACTAATCCATCAAGTTACTCTGCTCTGTATTGAAGTTCTGCAGATAAAAACTGAAATGCCCTGTATAATATGGACTTCTTAATGAAAGAGTTTCCTGGAAATATTTTTTTATTGAAATATTCTAGAAATACATTGAATAATGAAAATGTGTTCATGTCAAATCATCAGTTTGTTTCCATCCATCCTCATCACTAATGAACCTTCTTTTAACTGTTGTATTCATGTAAGGTCTCAGTGCCCATTCTGTGTCTGCAGAATCAACATTGTCTAGAGTTCCTAGTTTGATCTCATACAATCTCAACTGAAACCTAGGTCCAACTTCACTCAACTCAATCTGAAAATTAATCAATTAATTCCTCAACTGTGAAATACAAAAAAACTAGCTCACTCACCTGTCTGTCAACTTTTTTATAAGTGTGATGTCTGAAACTTATGTAGTCATCATGGTTGGCAAAAGTAATAACTCTTTTTGAATCTTCTTTAGGAACAGGGAACAAATACTTCAAGATACTAGTTATTCTATCACCCAATTTTGTTTTGAAGTTATGGAAAATCAAATGAGGGTATTGTTCTGACATGGTCCCAATATCAGGAATATCATGTCTCATAACAACATCAGACATTGTAAAATATGCTGTAGGACCATATGGCAAGTGGCAAATAACCAGACCATCAGGTACTCCCCTATGCTCATGAACAACAATGAAATCTGTGACATCATTTGCTCTGCATGCATGAATGAGCTGTTTCATCTCATAGTTACCACGATTCATGCGTTGTGCATTTGGGAAAATGAGTCTTAGTTCCTTCACAAACATTTTGAGTCTAGAACTGGGGTCACGTGAAGTTGTTATAACAATTTTGGGGTCCTCCACTCCAGCATATCTGTATTCATCATCTTGGGAATTGGCTAGGGTTCCACCACTCTCTCCGCCCATCAAAACTGCAGCTTCAGGGCCAGCATCTTCCCATTCAATTTTTTTTGCAAAATGTAAGGCTTTTTTCTGTAAATCCCCATGAATGGTCTTGTTTTGTTCTAAGCTATTCTTCAAGCGATCTTTCTTGTCTTGAATTGACTTTTGCTTGTCTTCCACAGTTTTTCTGTACAAGTATTCTCGGCGGAGCCGAGCTTGACGCCTTATCATTGTAGGTATGTGATATATTTATGAAATTGTGAATTTCCAAAGTTCTCAGACAAGCGCGTTGAGCCGATCAGTTGAATACAATTAGATCAAGACCAAACAAAAACTTGCACGTTGTTTTGTTATATTGTTGAGATACAAAATTCAACATTCACATTCCACATAACATAACCAAGAAGTGACCAAGAACTAGATATGTCAGATGTCAAAAAAGAAAACAAAATAATAAAAATTAGGAAATTGGAGAGGATTATTCTTGTAACTTCTCCATGACAAGATGCAATCCTACCAGTTTTAGGGACAGGAAGGGGACAAATTGTTTTTAGAAAGCTAATGGAATCGAAAATACTCACCCTCGGCTTTTTGTTTTTTATTCCCTTGTAAACTCTCCATAATTTCAGTTTTCGTTCAAGATCCAATCTCTGATCATTTCATTCATTTGAATCTTAATTCAATTATCCAAAATAAAAAATGCTGTGTGGTAGTCATTGACGAAAAACTCGAAAAATTTTAAAATTCATTTGAAGTGTTTTGATTCTGAACTGAAATCAAATCAGTGAAATCTGACTGAGAGTTTAATTAATTTCTTCTTTGTTTCTTGTCCTTATCCAGTTGGATATTCAGCCAGGTGGAAACACAACAAGTCACAACAGAAAACTCTTTCTTCTCATTTTTTCAATCCGTCACAGAGTAGTCTTCTTCATTATGGTACATTAACCGTTTCTACATTCAAATTTTTTAAAACTATCTTGATGAAAGTAAGATAAAACTATCTTGATGAAAGTAAGATAAAACTATCTAACCTTACTCGGCCTTATTTAAATGACCCTTATGGCAAAAAGATAGCACTTTTGTCAGGAAGATATTCCTTCTGCATAAAAAAGGATTTTAAACCATCTAACCTTAATCGGCCTAATTGAACATTCTTCATAAAAATTATATTTTTCGGAAAATTACTTGGAAAACAGAATTTAAAAATAGCAGACCATCGCAGGCATTGAACCCGGGTCGCTGACGTGGGATCCAAACGCACAGTCAACAACGCCAGGAGTCCTAGTAACTGTGGTAGTATGAAAAAATAATTTAGTTGCTGTGCACCACTAGGAACACGGCAATGAACTTGTAATTCCCTTCTGCTCTGTGTTTAAGTTCTGTGACCCGAACTTGCCGCGCTGACTATATTTGTTACCTTACCTCCTGTCTAGGCACTAGTCATGATTCGAAGGAAGAAATGATAACTAGCAATGCTCCTCCCACCATTCCAAAATTTATAGCAAGTATTACTCCCCAGGGCCCAGACTAGTCAGAGGTTATAAGTTCCGAGTCTGAGCTTCTGACTATGAAACATTTACAAACTAGAAACAGCCACTGATATAACAGAAATTCTAATTGTTGTCATGTTGAAAAATCAATAACTTATATCTTCCCAGCTGTTTCAGAAAACCACCTATCATGAAATAAAATAAAGGGTCATTTGAAAATCCAAGTTTTTCATAAAATGCACCTCCAGTGTGCATCACAACACTACAAGTGAGAAAACTTAGGAGGAATGTTTTCTATGGGCCACTTAGTATATTAGTATGTATATTATGAATATGCTGCTTTCATGTTGAAAGCAAGATGAGGTTGAAATGTAAAAAATGTACCTACTATTCTGTCTGGATGATAATAGTTTTATAGATATCTGAAACAATTCATCTAACCATTAGAAGTAGGTATAAGTATATAAAAATGACTAAATAAGGAACATCTTCCTATTTTGAAATCCACTCTCATTGACATTGTTCACCCAGCACAATTCATCAGTACTATTGTCCTAACTCCTTGAAGCTCCAAAGCTTTATCTCTCCATCATCACTGCAAGAGGCTAGAAGTCCAGGAATTACTGGGTTCCATGTAACACAGTTGACATCTTGTGTGTGAGCCCTATCTACAGTGCAAATTAAACTAAAACCAGGGGAGTTTGGATCACCATCATCATCTTCTTTAAAAATCCTCACTGCATCATCTCCACAAGCTGTTGCAATTAATCCAGTCATATGGCACCAACTAATGTCATAGATGGTTCTAGCATGGTGTCCTGTTAAAGTACAGACACATTTCCAAGCAGAGTCTCCATCTTCAGTAGGAATTCCCTCTTGATTCCCAGGGGGATATTCTTTCCAGATTTTTATTGTTTGGTCATCACCACATGAGGCTAGACGACTACCAGTTTTATCAAAACTAATACTCCATACTGTGGAATTATGGCCTGTTAAAGTTCCACAACATATCCAGTCACCCTCACTTGGGTCATCCCTGAATAATTTGATGGTGTTGTCATATGATGCAGAAGCTAGTAAGTCTTTAGTTGGATGAAAAACAACCTAGGATACATTGTATATTACAAATAAAATTTCAATTCATTATTATTTTCTTACTTTTTTAACATCTTGTGAATGAGCATTGAGTACAGCAGCACAATCATACTCTTCCTCATCAGTTACTTCCCAAATCCATACTGATTTATCCCTGCTACATGTGGCTAATAACTGACCAGACTTTGACCAAGCCAAACTCTTTACTTCATTTTCATGACCTTCTAGAGTAGCATTACATTCAAAATCTCCACCTTTCTTATCCCAAATGCAAGTTGTTGCATCAAAACTAGCTGAAGCAAGATAGTTTCCACATGCTGACCATACTACTTGTCTCACAGTGCGTTTGTGTCCATCTGTCAGGACTATTTTGTTCAGCCACTTTCCTGTTAGATCCTTTGCCCATATTCTTATAGATTTCTCTTCCCCACAAGAAGCTAGAACTTCACCATTAGGATGCCAACTCAGGTTCCATACACGTCCATTGTCTTTTTTGAGTGTTTGGAGCAAATTAAGTGAACCCATGATTTATTAATTTTGATTGGATTCTCTATATATTTTACTAGTCCAGCATCCAGTATCAGTAATGAAGTTGTTTGTGCTTGCTGTGGTTATTGTTACAAATGCTCATTGCTCAGAGAAGAGACAAGAGACCAGCAGAAATCCAGAAAATTCCAATATCCCTATCACAATTCACAAATACACAAATTAGAAATTATCACAATTCACCCAGATCCCATCGCCGGTGTGAGCTTGGCAGACCATCAACAGCTACATTTTTGAAGATACTCAAATGAACAGTGGCTGACCTCGAAATATTTTTCTGTTTGTAAAATTATTCGAATGAGATTTATCAAGATTCCTATTCGCATAAAAATTATTACAGTTATAGTGGAATGAACATATGAATACCTAGAAAATATACAAGTATTTACTAAATTTTTCTCCATTATAAAAGTATGTGGTGTAACTATAACATACCATACGCATTGATGAGGAAATAGTTATTTGTTTAACTAGGCAGCAAAGTAGTAGATTGACTGCCGAGGCTGAATTCATAGCCGAGCGTAGAGCGAGGCTAGGAATCCAGCTAAGGCAGTCAATCTATTTTGCTGCCGAGTTGAACATATAATTTTTTCTCCGATTGTTCATAATGATATATATCTCTTTAATTTTCCTGTAGTGTTCAATTGAAATAAAATTTGATCGAAATCTCAGTTATTGGAATGGTTGGATGCCATGGAAATGTCCATAATATAATAATTATAGTTTGACAATTCATGAAATTTCTGACAGTTGTGCGAAAAAATATCGGTATATTTGAATTATTATATAATGGACAGTGATAGCTACCTGGAAGTACTTAAACCTCCAGAAATAAGGGAGCTGGCAAAAAATATAGAGTTGAATTTGTTGCCGGAGGAGTCTCGGATGAAATATGAAGGAAATTATAAACGATTTATGGATTATTAAATTTGCTGATACATATCAATCAGCAAAGTAACCATTTTGCTGCCTAGGCAGCAAAGTACCCACTTTGGTGGTGGTGGTGGTTACTTTGCTGATCGATATATGTATCAGCAAAATTAATAATCCATAAATCTTTTATAATTTCCTTCATATTTCATCCGAGACTTCTCCGGCAACAAATTTCAACTCTATATTTTTTGCCACCTCCCTAATTTCCGGAGGTGTAAGTACTTCCAGGTCGCTATCACTGTCCATTATATAATAATTCAAATATACCGATATTTTTTCGCACGACTGTCAGAAATTTCATGAATTGACAAACTATAATTATTAAGGACATTTCCATAGCAACCAATCATTCCAACAACTGCGATTTCTATCAAATTTCATTTTAATTAAACACTACAGGAAAAATGAAGAGATATATATATCATTATGAACAATCGGAGAAAAAATTATGTGTTCAACACGGCAGCAAAGTAGATTGACTGCCGAGGCTGAATTCATAGCCGAGCGTAGCGAGGCTAGGAATCCAATCTAGTACTTTGCTGCCTAGTTAAACAAATAACTATTATTCCAATAACTGTAATAATTGTTATGCGAATGAGAATCATAATATCTTATTCGAATAATTTTACAGACAGAAAAATATTTTCGAGGTCAGCCACTGTCCATTCGAGTATCTTCAAAAATTTAGCTGTTGATGGTCTGCCAAGTTCACACAAAAAAAATTTGGTACGCCACTGGTCTTTCGGGTTACTTCGGAAATTTTAGCCGCTGGCTTGGTCTGCAAATTCACACTGGTGATACCATCCGATATCTCGTCTCGTCTCGGTCGGATTCGTGCGAATACTCGAACACACCGCTTCTCCCACCACTCGGGCAGTTCGGGCACTAGTTTTATTGGCAAGGTCACGATCCGATACCTCATATCAATGACGGCTGAATATCAAGTAAGCTGCCGACTATCAGCTTACTTGATATTTACTATTTAGCCGTCATTGCCTCTGCCTCATATATTCCTTATTTTATTTTATCATACGAACAATATACGAATGAACATCCTTAGATGAACGAATAAGAAGAAGACGAAAAAAAATGAAGAATAAGAATTAGAACTTTGCTACCATAAGAAGAGGTCACAAGGGCCACAACCATCACAAAACTTTGCACTGTGATTTTGCCTTGACAATGACAATTCGGACATAAACATCTGAATCAAAATTCAAAAGGAAAAGTGAAAAGTGTCAGAAATCGTGGTCAGAACTCAGTCAGAAGTCAGAACTCAGAAGATAAATAAACATAAAAAAAATAATAATTTGCTTGAAGTAAAAGAACTTAATGATTTCAATGATGAAAATTTACTATTGATCATCACTTATTAATATGGAACAGCTCCCAGTGGAAATTATCGAAAATATATTAACAAATCCCAGGATATCCATTGAAGACATTGTGCATTTTTCTTCAACTTGCCATTATTTTCATGAAATTGTCTTCAGTAGCAATTTAGTTTGGAAAGTGAAATTGTTTCAGAGGTATACACAGCCCAATTATCTATTAGCTATATATTTACATCAATACACACTTTTATAGATGGCCACAATTAAAAAATCTTCTTGAAATCAGGCATATAAACTTTCAACATGAAGTTCGGTATATTTATGAGCTCAGACAAAAAACTAGGAAGATGTTGGAAAAAATGCCACCTAAGTTTTATAAAAAATATGAAATATCAGACTCTGACCTATATGAATGGAATGGAATATTGAATGAGAAAGATGAAGCTTATAATTATCTTGTGATGGATCTAATGGACATTGTAAATACTGATGTCCCTATAAATAGCATTGAGGTAGTCCCTTTGAAGTAAGTAACTTCATTTATAAAACATTTACAGTACTCATAAAGAATATTTCAGTACACCAGGTAACAAAACTCTACAATATTATGCCAACAAAGTCCTAAGATACATAAGACAGCTACACCTATCAAAAGTCTGGAAAAACTACATATCACTTCCACCTGAAAGACAGATACTTGAGATTGGAGCAGTCTTTGTTGCACAGTGGTGTCAGCCAAATGTAGAAGTAACTCTAGAAGACATTACTTGCAGACTTGATCAAATTGCATGGAAAGTTAGACATGCATTACAAGTATCTCACCCACAGCACCCTTTATTCCAAGCCACTCCAGAAGAGTTGGAACTGTGGAGAATTGAAAATAAGGCTAGAAATCAGTGGAATGTGAATGAGTGTAGACAGTTGATAGCTGTTATAAGAGAAGTGTTGTTCGAACAAATGGGGTTTAGTGGAAATAACCATGCCTACTTTATGCCACAAAATTCATTTGTTAATGAAGTTTTAGATAAAAGACAAGGGTTACCCATCAGTTTAGCTATAGTTTTTGAAGCTGTAGCAAGAAGGCTTGGCTTGAGATGTGAACCAATCAGTTTTCCTGCTCATTTTCTTTTGAGGTTTGTTGAAAGCTCTGATCCAGACTCTGATTGGTACTACATTGATGTTTTTAATGGGGGTCAAATCATTAGAAAAGGTGCCTGTCCACATAGCAGGTTTTCTGGCACAAGAGACCTATTCCCTGTTGCAACAGCTTTGCAAGTTGTTGAACGCATGGCAAATAATCTAGAAGTATCTGCAAGGCAACATGCTCATCCCAATGGAAGGATAACTAGGTTGAGGTCTAGTTTGGAGTTGTTAAAATTGGTGAATCCAAAGGATATTTCAGCTTTAGTAAGCTTAGCTAGATTATATATGTTGCACAATATGGATACTAAACCATTGGAGCAGTTTCTATTGTCCCAGGAGTTTGAGGTTCCAGAACAAGCACAGAGGTGAGTGAAATGTACATCTTATCAGATACCAATGTGAAGACAGCAAGCTATTCTGGCTATAATTTACAGGGTGTAATAGGTTATGAGTTATTTTTAGATAGAAAGAAGTATTACTATCATTTTTTCATCAAAATTGTTTCCTGATTTTGTCTCATCAGTTTTATCTCTTTTCTTCCCATTAGGACTGAAAAATTTAAAGAAGAATTCAAGAAACATCTACTCCTGTAATATTGACATCTTATCTCATTTTTATAGTATTCTTGTACAACTACTATAATTTTCTATTGGGTACCTAACAGCTGAGTCAATTGAGAATCATTTTCAGTTGAACTTGAAAAACAAAAAAGATTATTCTTGCCTGTGAGTCTTATTTTACTGTCTTCTTTATTTTATTTTGTCAAATATATTTATGTATTCACTATGTTCCCTGCTATAAACAAATTTTTTTTCTTGGGAATAATAAAGTTGATTGATTGATTGATATGGAAAAATCCATAAATCGTTCAGTGACTTTTATGATGAGTGATCCAGTCAGTAAGTCACATGAGTATGTTGTATGTTCATTTTAGGTATATGGTATGATGCATGCATGTGAACCAGAATCATGAGAGGAAATCAAAATTGTTGTATTTAGGGTGTCCTATTGAAAATAACAAATATATCACTTCTAGGAAAACCAGAAGGTTCACAGTGAAGAAAAATTTTTTTTTTTTTATTCTCCATGTTCCCTCCACTATTCCTATGAATTTTCTTCCAAATCATGCTATTAAGTATATCAGGTGACAACAAATTCATTATCCAGGGCCATGGCACCATTCAGTTTGTTTTTCATGTTAGTCTTTTCACATTTGGATCTGAGTTTGGATTGAAGATATAGACGCTCAGAACGCATTGTTTCCATGAAAACCAACTGAATATAACTTTTGGTTTTACTGGAACTATTTCCAGGTCTATACCTAGGTCGAGAATTTTGAATGGAACCCTGTAGATATTTTCACACCTTGCGATAGAGGGAAAAAATCCCTTTTCAGTGACATATCATAAGTGAACATTTGTTCTTGATATGGTGGCGCTGGAGAAATTTTTGCTAAAATCAATATGGGGACACTGACGCCATTGATTAAATTTTCGTCAATCAACCTAATAAAATAGCAAATAAACAAAGCACTTCCTGAGCCACTTCCATAAGTTTTAGATGTATGAATTCTGATTCATCAGGATTCCAGGATTCCTTTCATTAATTCTTTCAAAAGACATTCTTTCTTCTCCAGAAAATTTTAGATGGAAATGGTACTGTTTTCAAATTGACAAAAGTATAAGTCAATATCTATAGATGAATGTTCGAAATACTATGTCTCTTTTTTTACCTTCAATTAAAGAATCATATTAGTATTGAAGATTGTCTTCCTCGTTTTACCAAAAACTCAAAACCTAACTATTTCTGAAAACAAAAGGCATAGTATGTCAAATCACAGTTAACTCACCAGCGGCGGATCCAGCAATTTTGTTTGGGGGGGGGCTTTATATTTCATCTTATGATTTCTGTTTCACAAAATCATATCCACTTAATGGGTATTAATAGGTATAGCGAGAGGTAACAAGTGTCTTGAGTGGAAATGAAAAAGTTTGTTCAAGAGTACAGCTAGGGTTTAACACACCCTATCACTTTCAGTTTCATGAAACAACTCCAACTGTTAATTTTCAAATGGAACATCCTGTATTTTATTCCATAATCAGTTAGGAATTATCATCACGAATTCAATGATACCGGGTTTGACAGGGTTATTTCAAACGATTATGAAGATCGAACTTTCCTCTCTGTCAGCATTGAGCATATGGAAATTTCGAACGGGAATATCTTCATATATTTTATTTATCTAGACGTTCACACTACCTCTCATTTTTTTCCAAGAAGATTGTTTACAATAATGTAATATTTCCACACCTCAATTTTTGTTCAACAATTCTTTTGAATCAGAATGATTTGAAAAGAATACAAAAATTGTAATAAGTACACACCCATGAAAATTATGTTGAAAATTTTTTTGCTGCCTGTTGAATATAATTTTGAATTTTTGGTATTCATTCTTAGAATTCAAAGAGGCGAAGCATCAAATTATTTGATGAACAAGCTAACTTATTACAAAGAAATGCATAATCATTATACCAGATAGAAAGACCACTTTTTCATTCCACTGAGGAGTAAGAGATTTGGAGAAAATTCATTTTTTTTAAGGATTGAAGTAATTCAATGACTTGCCATCTGATGTGAAGAGTGCTTGTTCCATGAGCATATACAAAACTAAGTTGAAAATGCATTTATTGAAATGATCCAACTTGAATTTTTAAAGACGCTGGGTGGGCTGGCTACCAGATCTCAGTCGCGAGATTATTCTGTTGAACTCAATTTCTCAGTGAGGGGGGGGGGAGGGGCAATTTCCGCTGATGCCTCCCCTGGATCCGCCGCTATATCTCACTCTCGGAAATCTCTTTGATGTTCAAGTTAGAGAAGCGCTGCGCTGCGCCTCATTAGTGTCGGCGACAAAAAATCGGTTCAATACCAGGGCAATGGGTACGCAACAAAATGCGATCGGCGCGTAGAATTTAGGATCTTTCAAATGTTTGATTGCTGATAGTTTTACTTGGATTCCACTCAAATGATATTTGAATTATCATTGTCTATTATATTGAGGATAAAGCAGCAATGAAATTTACGTATATATGAAAAAATAGTATCATTATTTCAACATACAGTGTGTGCGATTTCAACCCGCAACACCCTCCTAATTTTGAACCCGTCGACCGATTTTCAACAACGAGCTCTATTCGAAAATGTGGACAAACATGAGAATATTCATATTTTCAAGGCTATCTTTTGATTGTTGAAAGGGTCAAAATTTCGAGTGGAAAGGCTTTTCGTCGTTAGTGTTGTGTTTTTGTATTTATTTTACACCGCCCATCTATGTGTGGAGCTAGAAAAAAATTGTACAGCTCTTGAAGCTTGAAGCAGAGTAAATAGTGACACAGCCTCAATGCAAGAGTCTACTGCGTGAGTGCCAACTAAATTTAGAGAGTGTCCTGCACAAGTGATATATGATGCAAGTGGACTGACATCAAGAATTCTAGCCTGTAGTCGTGAATAGATCCCAGACATGTTGGAACCATTGTCGTAAGATTGCCCGCGGCACTTTTGTATGTCCAAACCAAAAAGATGCAGAGTTTCAGTGACTGCGTTAAACATATCAAGGGCCTTCTGTCCAATATACGACAAAAACTTCAGAAACCGTTCAACAGGCTTCACATAGCGTATCACAAAAGATAATTCATCTATGTGAGAAATATCCGGTGTTGAATCGACAACCAATGAAAAGTACCTTTAGCCTCCTCTAATATGAAGTTTGTAACTTGTTTACCAAGGAGTTCAACAAATTCATCGCATATTGTGGATGAGAGATAGGAAATATGTCCTTTTCCAGGGTTTTCATACTTTCTAATGTGTTCCGCCTGAAAGGGTCAAACTCAGCAATAACTTCTAGTTACATCATGTAGTTTTCATTTGAGTTGGAACCAAATACCTCTGTTGAATCTCGATCTTTCTTCAGATTGTTCATACACCAGTTCGCAAATGACACGCAAGTGTATGCAAGCTTGAATGATGATAATGCTAATATAGTTGTTTCAAAAATCAATGATACCCTGGATGAAATATTCGTGTATTCAAATAAACAGGGTTTGAAATTAAATCCTACCAAATCACAGATGATTTGTTTCGCTAAAAGAGCACATACAATGGATGAAGTGGTGATTAATGTTAGTATTGAGCCTAGTGAAACAATAAAAAATTTGGGACTTTTTATTGATGATGACCTACGTTTCAAAACTCATATAAAACATGTTGTTCAAAAAAGCTACATGTCCTTGAGGAATTTGTATCGTAGTAGAAAAATTTTGAACAAAGATTTGAGGAAACAGTTATGTCTATCTTTAGTTTTAAGGAACTCAAACTACGGTGATATAATTTATGGACCTTGTCTCGACGTTCAAACATCAGGTAGAATTCAAAGAATCCAAAATGCTTGTATTCGCTTTGTTTATTCATTGAGAATCCGAGACCACGTAACTCCTTCATTAGCGGAAATAGGGTGGCTTAACATGAAAAATAGAAGAAAACTACATCTAGCATATATGGTTCATAAACTTTCAGCGAAAGGAAGTCCTTCATATATAAAAAAAAAACGTTAACATATCGGTCTGCTGTTCATGTTGTGGAAACCAGAAATAGGCACCTTCTTGTGATACCCAGGCATTCAACGACTTCGTTCAGATTATTTTCTCATTATGCAGTGAATATTTTCAAGGCTATTCCAATTACTTTAAGAACTAAATCGATTTATGCTTTTAAAAAATCTTATAGGGAATATCTATTGGGTCTTTAGTCTTTAAATCTCACCCCTTGTGCACTCTTGTAATCATTATCAATATCAATGATTCTGTTACGTGTATTATCCTATAAACACTATGCATATTTCATACTATAGTCTGATAAAATTGAATTATATAGGTATAGAGGTAACCATTTTTATTTTTATTTGTTCATCTTTTATGTGTAACTGGTACTCAGTTAAGTGGAGCAGTTTTCAACTGGACTTCGCCGAGGATTATCAAAATAAAGACATTTTATTATTATTATTATTATTATTATTATTGTAAACAACTCCATTTCAGGGTGGTCCACATGCTGCGCGACTACGAGGCCCACCACTCGCGCGCCGACGCCGGTCTCTTCGACCAGGTGGAGGCGGCGCAGCGCAGCCCCAACCTCTCGTACGCCGTCGGAATGGTGATGCGCCATCAGACGCTCGACTACCGCGGCGTCGTCTACGACTGGGACCCCGTGTGCCTGGCGGCGGCCGAGTGGCAGGCGCAGAACCACGTAGAGAAGCTGCAGCTGCGGGACGGCCAGCCGTTCTACAACGTGCTGGTGGAGGACGGCTCGCATCGATATGTAGCGCAAGGTAACTATAATACTACAGCTTGAACATCCTAGCTGTGCCTTATATGTGCAGTAGACCAGTCGTCGGAGTGGGGCGAGAGCTCATTATTGTGCTCAACAGATCCAGTAGTCGCACTTACTATCTACACCATTGAAGTTTGAAAACCCCGTTTTGTTCACTGCGCAACCATAATTCCATGCCACGTCTTTTGCGATTTTTAAGTCACGAATTATTCAGTTGATGAAATTAAATCACGTCGAAGGCGCAAATTCATTCATGCCTTCATATTTTCAGCTATTCTGTGACTTCATCACGAATGACATTCACGTTTTAGTCTTCTGCGTAACCAAAATTCAAATTCCACGAGATGGCTAATGTCAGATTCGATAAGGATACAACAAAATTTTAGTGGGGACACTGAGAGTTAGCGAAATAAGAATATGGGGCCAAATCAAAATCGTGACCATTCTAGATTGATTTCCATTTTGAATTCGCGTTTATTTTCAGGATTGATGGTAACAAATAAAAAAAAGACAAATAAATGAAATTCGGTGATAAAATCATCTTTCCATAAAAAATCTTCAAAATTTACTTCACATCATATGTCATATAATATTAGTAGTAGTAGTTTATTCCGTGTGATGAAGGACAATTTATATACATTCCTGAGGCAATATACAATAGGATATACGATACATGTATCAATAAAAAATAAAAGTGAAACATAAAAAATGAGAGATATTTTGAATCACTCACATACACAGGACATACACAATATTAATGATATGCAAACTTTGAAATGTTTATAAAATTTCTTGATGTTGTAGAACACATTATCTCAGAAAATTCTTACTATGATTCACAAACTTTCCCAAGTTCAATTACCTCGATTCTTTTGGTAGACTATGAAAATAGTTGAGGTACTGGTATTTGTAGGATTTGAAGTTTTTATTAAGTCTAAAAAATGGCAGTTGATAGGGTCTTTGTCTTGTTTCATACCTGTCTTGTCTCTGTAATGATGATTGGTTTTCTTTGGCATATTTCAGAGCTCTCAAAATATATTTATTTGTAGAAGTTAAAATATGAAGCTCCTTGAACAAGGTTCTGCAAGGTTCTCTATAATTTGATTCTGTTATGACAGGCATGACTCGTTTTCACAATAATTGTATTTGATTTACCATATGACAGTATACTGTGAAATAGAGCATGGTATACCATAACCACGCTCTCTTTGTCTATCATGCTAGTTGAATTCTTCACGATAAATACAATGCTCGCAATTATTAGGCAGATGTAATATTGCCTCCAATGTTAACTAATCAAAGCGGAGGTCAACGCTTCCCTATGCTTTCCAATGCTGTCTTCCAAGTTGGAATGGACTGTCTAATCAACAAATGACCCGAAAGTGGGTGTAGAGTGCGTGACCAGAAACCTCAGCGTTTTTTTCAGAAACCCCTTCGGAGGAGGAGGGGGAGCAGTGAGTGGGTTCCGCTTTTGGGTTTGTCGCTTCAATAGATAAATAGGTTTTATTGATAGATAGCTATATAGATTTTATTGATCACGTTACATATATTGACTACCGCGGCGTGAAATACGACTGGGGCCCCGTGTGCCTGGCGGCGGACGAGTCGCAGGCGGAGAACCACGTGAAGAAGCTGCAGCTGCGGGACGGCCAACCGTTCTAAAACGTTCTGGTGGAGGTAGGCTCGCACAAATACGTGGAGCAAGGTAACTAAAATACTACAGCTTGAACATCATAGCTGTGTCTCTCTGGGAATTGTATGGGCAGTAGACCAGTCGTCGGAGTGTGGCGAGAGCTCATTATTGTCGAGGAACTCGTGCAGTCAACATCGGTTAGTACAGTCAGTGGATAAACTATTTAGTGACAGATTCCTGTCCGCTACTAAAATTATTGTTCTGCCGATTGTACTTCAAAAGTAAAGGAGTTGTAGATCATTGTCGCATCTCAGAGGCACAGCTAGATTGGTCAAGCTGTACCTTCTAAATAAGAAGATAGTAGGTGGCGCTGCTTCCGAAGGAATGTTCACAATACCGAAATAAAATATGGTGCGTAATTCAAATTCGTGACTATTCTATTGATTGAATTCCATTTTGAGTTCGTGTTTATTCTCAGGATGTATCGTAACAAATATTGCCTTCAATATTAATCAATCAAAGCGAAGGTCAACACTTCCCTATGCTTTCCAATGCTGTCTTTCAAATTGGAATGGACTGCCTAAACAACAAATGACCTAAAAGTGGGTGTAGAGTGCGTGAGCAGGGGCCTAAGCTATTTCTTTATAAACTCATTCGATTTTGTTACCTGTCAAGAGGGATCAAATGTCATACTTTTTTCCCGCCACCGAAAAATATTATGATATAATATCCGTCGTTCTAGAAAGAGTAGTGTTCCACTAGGTGAAAAGTTATAAATTCTAATTTTTGTAGCCTCGGCTGGAGATGATTCCGCACGATTCACTGTTGCGTTACAATTAACGGTGCATTAAAGGTATTGAAAAAGTATTATCATTATTAAATAATTCATTTGTTGTTCGATTGTCTTGAAGAATATGTGGACAGGATAACGTTTCCCTTCCCTTCGGTAAAAGTGGTAAAATCAATCTGGCATTTTTATTTCTTCTCAGAGCAACATTTCATAATTCATATTGTAGACAAGATAGTTTCTTACAAAAAGCCATCTTTTCAGTATTCGGCGATTCCTCTTTCGTATTAAATGTCTCACAATTTTTTTTTTTTTTTTAGAAAATTTGGTACCAACTAATGATAGAGAAGCCATATACCTGAACGATGACGTTGGCAGACATTTCTCACACTTTTTTGAAACACACTATGTCCCAAACGCGGAAAAAGAAAAGGAGTACCCAGCAGACAGGCAGATACGGCACTGGTTCCACCAACAGAAGAAACTGGAGAGTTTCAACAACCTGTAGTACATGCTTTAGATGTATGTGGATTGTGGAGTCGATGTTTTTATTTATTGAATTTATCTATTTATTTTACTTTGGATTGGCAAGTGATCATTTGGTAAGTGTATATTTTATAAGTTGAATGTTTATTTCGCATCTTTTACCAATGTTTCATGTTCGTGTGGATAACTAAGGTATGTAAGCAAAAAATACTTTCCAACATAACACTCTTGAACATTACATCAGCATATACATATACAAGGTGTTTCTAGGCCAGTGGAACAGTTGAATATCTGTGGAACCAATGTGTATTTTTGAGAAAAATAATATCCAATACAATATTATTATCATAATTGGCACCACGAGAGCTATACTTACAAATGACTAATTCATACCAGTTGTCTTACAAAAAACTGCCGCATTGAAGAAAATTCAATTATGAATTTAAAAATAACTTGAATGCAAACTAATTCCTGTATTTTTATGGACAACTCGATTTTGACACAAGTCCATTATAATTCGATTGGATTTCATTTTAAACTCTTCTAACTCTTGCTGAAAGAGCTATAAAAAAGAGTTTCATCTGTGTATCTTCTTTTAATGGTATTAAAAGAAACAGTTGATTTTTGTATTCAATTTGTAGATGAATGAGTTATCAGCAATTGTTGATGAGTAATTGAGTATTTAAATATCAATAGAATTATTTTTTGATAAAAAATTCCATCAAAATATCAAAACACATTCTACCATGAGATCTATGACCATATAATGAGAACCGCTCCTGGAACTTTTGAATCGTTCCAGATGAAATTTTGAAATTTGCAGGGTTCATATAACATCATATTTTACATTCACTGATATGATTATGTGTTTCAAGTTACTTCTGGTGTCGCCGAAAATGACCTCTACCTTTGATTTTCGAATGAGACACCCTGTCAGGATTCCGGAGATCATTTTGCATACAGTTGTATAACTTTCGGGTGAACATTTTCTTAGCGTCTTAACTTTTTTATTGGATTTTTGGAATCGTATCTAGGTTACTGCCATGATTTGTTTTTGTTTCAGTTTTCTTTTTTCAAGGAAATAATTCAAATCATACTATTCCACTACTATCTAACCTATAATCGGCTCTCGGAGTGATCATAAATGAGTTTTCTAGAATAACTGCTTTTTCAAATGAAATGATGGGCCAGGTAATTTTTTTCGAAGAATATTCTTCAACTAATTGATTGATACCACAGTTGTCAATATCCTATTGATAATTGAAACACAAAATGGATAAAATCAAAATGAATTCTATCATATATCTGTATATAAAATGATCTAAATCCAAAAATGTGAAAATACACAGGATGTCCCATTTGAAAATGGAAAGTTGAGGTCATTTCTGCTCAAACCGGAAGTAATCCAAAATGTGTAATTGTATCAGTGAATGCGAAATAAGATGTTATTTGAACCCTCAAAATTTCACAAATCTTTCTCAAATTATTCAGAAGTTAGAGGGGCGGCCCAGTCCTCGTAGCCACCCGGTATATGACACGAACGAAAACAGATTTCGAAACAAAGCACAATGTCGTAAAATCTCACATTATGTCTTAAAAACTGCCAATGAAATTACCTAATTTATTAGCTAGTTTTCGCGTTCTTCCCAGATCGAATGGTCGATTAATGAGTAAAAAGTAATATCTGTTGGTGATCTCAAAGGTGAGTCATTTTTTAACAGGATGTAGAACTCATCAAAATAGACAAAATAACCAAAAACCAGATGGTTGGCCCCAAAATGTCACTACATTTAATAATGTTCCCATCAGAGAGCCTAATAGAAAAATGTATTCACTTGTCAGTGACACTTTGATATGAAAAAAGTTTGGAGATGAGAATTATAGGTATATAATATATCAAACATTTTTAAACGCATTGACATTTTGGGGCAAACCATCTAGTTTGTCCTCAGTATCATTTCAATATACGTGAAATATTACAAAATTTGGTTATTTTATCACAGTGGGTTTCGAATATTTTCACGTAAAACCATCATCTTGGTCTATCTTTTAGATGTCTATGTTGATATGATTTTTTTTATCATTTTGTTACTTAGAATCTGTGGTTGAAATCTATGTAATTTCGGGACACCTTGTATTTTCCATTTCGGGTGGTACAGGCCTTCCCACATGTTTTCTTCTTTGTTCCTACGAACACCCTGTGTTACGACACCTGTGTACCGAATTAACGATCATTCGCGGCGTGGGATGCTATTTTAACGGAAATATTTCCGTGTACAAAGGAATTGCTGCTGCTGCTGCTGCTGTGGCGACACTCACCACAAATCAAAAGTATGTAAACAAGCTCATTAAGTTTATTCGTAACCGTGCTAAATTATTTGACAATGCACAGAAGAAACAATTAAGAAAGAGGTACGATGGCTAGTGCTAGACAATAAAATTGAGGCTGGTGATCAGTCGGGTAATCACCGAACAGAGACTCGTGCGGCCAGGACCGTAACGAAATTCTTTCAAAATTTATGAAATGTTCAATTGATAATATATTCGTTCTATGCATTTTTTATTGAGGCGATATTTGCTGGTTCTGTAGATTTCCATGAATTCTAAATCCCCTTGAAAAAAAGGTGTCACCTTTGAGAACAACCTGTATCTGTACAAGTGTACAATCGCGTCTGGGTAGTAGGAGTCACAAATCGAAATATACATTCTTTGAATTTTTGAGCAAGTCTGCAAATGTGCCTCAAACGAGCTTTGATTAATTATTCCCATAATAGAATTGATGCGACAAAGGGCTTATTTGACGACTGGCATCATTCTCTTTGAACCATAAAAATCAAACTAGGATACCCGTCAGGTCTTGTTGTATTACTGGTATGGTCACACGTTTTCACTTCTTTGGATTCTGTGAGGACGTTTGAAGTCGAATATTTACGCAAATATGCGCTAGTTCACCTTGTGTATTAAAACTTCTAAAATATTTTCGTAAATACGGTGAATTGGACTTAAGACTTTTGGACTATCAAAACAATGATCCGTTCGGCTGGAAATAAATGCATGTGAAACTATATGTATAAAATGTATTAACACTTAGTACAACCTTAGATAATATTCAATTGTTTTCCTGGTGACAAATTCTATATCTGCAAATGGCTCTACATATTATATTGTCGTCACCAGTCCACCATATCAGATAGAATTTGCTTTGGACGGCCAAAATTGAAAAATAAAAGCCATGATGTAGCATACCCACTCTATTTTTAGTGAGGCCATTAATGCTATATCTACCAAAAGAGATTGGTCAGAAGGTTCTGGAACAAATTGAAAAGGAATTCCAGGCTAGGTAATAAAGAAATGAAGATGAAACTAACCCAGAAATTCAAAATTATTAACAAAACTCCCAATAATTCCTAGGATTTAAACGGAAATTAATGTGGCTGCTCTTGTAACTTTTGTTTGAAGTTGTATCTATCTGATCAGCATAGTGGCTCACTCATCAAAATATAGACCCTGTATATAGTGAAAACTGCAAGTTCTGAAGAATGGAGTGTCGTTATGAGAAAGGAAACGTACTGATTAAAAATCTTGAACTCTGATTTCAATTCTTATGATGAATTGACTGCTCGAACTTGTGATCTAGTTCTTTAGTTATGAATTAGGGCAATCAGATATTCATAAGAATCATCCGATTCTTTGGTATCTCATAGTCAGTGAAAATTGCTTGTTTTATATAATTTATTACAACTTTGTTTACACATTATTTTCACAAATGATAAAGAAAATAATTTTGTTCTGCTTAGATTTTATTTGTAAATGTTATATAGATCATTTTAAAAAATATAATTACAAAAATAATACATATTTTATTTCAACTTGACCTGTTAATGCCCATTCATGAATTTTTCATGATTCAAGGTATCTATTCCACCCGTTTATATTGATTCCATAGCGTGGAGATGATTCCTTGCTAGAGTTTACTTTGCAGTTTAGATATATCACCTTTCTCATCATGGATTATTTCGTGCCACCACGATGGACGGGACATTGCTCCAGGATTATGCATTATGGTAGTCTGAAGATTTTCATACAACTGAAAGAATAAATATATTTCGTGAATTATTGATACAAATAATCACCAAATTAAAAGTTCATATCATAAAAACCCTTTAAAAACAATACAGTTTAAATTGGGTTTGCCCTAACCATATATATCTACAATTTCTATATATGATGCATCGCCTATACGATATCTCAACAAAAATGGGACCAAAGTCAGAGGTACTATTTGAATATACAGGGTGTTTCCTAACTACGGTTCCTAACTGCAGGTGGTGATTCTTCAGGTCATTTTAGGAAGAAAAGTTCCTATTAACATATGTCCGGAGTTGCTTCGTTTTTGAGATACAGGGCGATGAAATTGAAGAAAAAAAACGGTAATCACAAAATATCATGAATATCCTGGAACCGATTTGGTTGAAATTTGGTACTTCCATTTGAACTAATAAGGCGCTTATTTAGCCCTATTTAGATTGAAATTATTGGAGCCAGTGCCGTCTCAGTGGGCACCACAGCCAACAATATTGTAAAAAAAAGTACGCCACTGACTCTTTTTGGTGAATTCTTATTTTTTTTAAGATTAAGCAACTCAAAATACAACTTTTTGGTCTCCTGTATTTTTTTCATATCCAGCTTCGTTTTCGAGAAAACAAATTAAAGCCACTGTATTGCATATCATGAACACCTGCATTGGAGAAATGAGTTTTTCATTATTTCCGCCAAAAATATAGTGGACACTTGATATGCTGAAATTTAAGAAAATTTGACAAATAAAAGTACCAACTTCTAACCAAATGGGTTCCAGGATATTCATGATATTTTATAATTACGTTTTTTGTTCTTTATTTTCAATGCCCTGTATCTCAGAAACGAAGCATCTCCGGACATATGTTCATTGGAACTTTTCTTCTTAAAATGACCTAACAAATCACCCCCTGCAGTTAGGAACCGTAGTTAGGAAACACCCTGTATAAGGACGGAATATGAAGGATGGAAACTGCTGACGTGAGGATCAGATTTTAAGTTCGTAAATAATTAATTGATCATAATAAAATATTAAAAATCATCAATTTGTTCTAAAATTTGTTCTATCCGTCATTCGGTTGCCCCCTTACGAGCAACCCTCAAAAGTCTTCGAAAGTCTTGTGCGAGCAAGGAATGACGGGGGCCTTACCTTTTAACGTGTGATCCCAAACACTTTCTTGGGCCATCAGAAAAATTTCTGCAGTCGACGGGACTCGAACCCACGACCGGCAAGCGAATGCGAATTAGAATATAGACACTCTGTCCGCACGGCTACCTGGCCATTGTTGATGATACCACAGTATAGGGTCCCTTGATGGAAATTGACGTAAAAGTCATCATAACAGGGTACGGACAGATCCTCGTCTCCTCTCACTCTAAAGTGTTTGTGAAACAGTTATATAGTTCCATCCTTATTCAATTCTAGGGATAAACACTAGATTTTTGACATTCGTTGTTTTTTAGGTTATATTGAGGTCACTGGCGTATCATACGTGATTTCCATATGGAATTCCTGATTCAACTATACCAAGATATAGATGAACTACTCCACCATAATCTTTGTGAGTAGGAAACATATGAATTGTCCTGAAAGCTCAATATATTCCACCAAAAGAGAATGTTCTTAGACTGTATACCAGGGTTGACTGAATTTACTGAATTGACTAAATGAATTCTGATTTCAAGCTGAGCAAAAGTTTATCTATGAGCTGAATGAGCTGAGCCTTATGATTGAGAAATGGTGGAAATCCCGATGTGGGTATCTGAACTACTGATGTACTCATGTCATGTGTGCTAATAATATTTTCGGAAATCCAATTCGGAGAAGAATTTATGGAGTGACTAATACTATGACTATGTATAAAACTTCTTCTGAGACGAAAAAAAGGCTGATAAAGAGTAATACGTAAAATTTGCAAGAAAATAAAGAATAGAATATACTTCACCCTTATTTTATACATGTGATTTTTCCGTATGCCTTAAATAAAAAGTCATTCCCGAATAATTTATTGATGAAAGTAACAAAGAAGTAGGTATACGCAGTTTAATTTATATACACGTTATTTTCACTCTTGCATCCTATTTTCTATTTGTGGTAGAATAATAATTATATAAACTAATGTCTTTCGCCATATTGGATCCGTCATCTTGAATTTTCGAATTTTGACGAAACAATCATTATCTCCGACCCGTCGGAAATCCCCAGATACCAATTTCGAATCTCGGATAGAATCGGACCATAATTACAAAATTCGATCGCCATATTGAATCCGCTATCTTTAATTTTCTAATTTTGACAAAAAATCATGAAGTTTGATCACGAAAACCCTCAGATTCCAATCTTAAATAGAATCAGATCACAATTAGAAATTTTGTTCGCTATATATTGAATCCGTCATCTGGAATTTTCCAAGTTTGACGAAACAATAATTATCTCCAACCCCGGAAAACCCCAGATACTTTCCAATTGTGAATAGAATCGGATCATAATCACAAAACTCGTTTCCATTTATGATCTTCCTCAACAAGTAAATACCCTGTACATACCATTGAAATTTTAAATGATTTTCTGTAGCGCCCATGGATGTGACGTGACAGCAATGTCAGGGATGCCAGTAGACAAAACCAAAGTCTCTAGATCATTAAAAAAGAATGCAGCTATGATCTGTCCGTACCCTGTTAAGATGACTTTAACGTCAATTTCCATCAAGGGACCCTACCACAGTATAATACCGTCAACTTTGATTTATTCCTTTTTATTGTGGTTAAAATATAGCAAAGCATAATGTCAGTAACTTTGAGGAACAGGAAAGAGCCATTGCAGATGATGTATTCATTTTCAATGTGGTGAAAGTGACCTACTCAAATCTGTTTAGCATGATAGGACTACACTACACTACTTGTCATTTACTGATTCCAACTTGGTTTACTTTAAGGAAATTCCCATTATATTATGCTTGTTACCGGATGATTGTAACTCCACTGATAATTTATGAAAAAAATGATGAGGCTGAAGCTCCATTGTCAAACTCATGTTGAACCAACCATTACCAACAGAATTTTGGATTTTATCAAATGTAATCATGTTTTTTTATTAATATACCGTACTACCTATGCATCAGATAAGATTATTATCGAAAGCTTTCTCCTAAATCCTAATTTCAGTTCTATGATATCCAGTTTCAGATCTACCTACTTATTTGCAAGCCCGAGATATTGAAAATTCAAACTTACTTATGAAAAGACTATTCATGTCTATTCTTTACTCTGCAAATACTGTATTTCGTTCCACTAGACATAGTTAAAAAAGTTCAGTCCATGAAAAATAAACGAAAACACAAACACTAAAGAATTGTACAACTAAAAACGCAAATAATCGAATTTCAATCACAATCAATCACATACGCGCAAAAACCAATTTAAAAATTTGAAATTAACAAGTTTCGTATTATTTTTTCCCAACGTCGACATCAACGCCTATTGGTCGATTCCGTTACCTATAGAGACAGAAGTTGGTACCGCTTTGAGGAGAGTTATGCTACATATATAGAGTAGTAGATATATGGCCCTAACCCACATACATACAAGAGTAATAATCTGGTCAACCTCGATTCAACAAAATATACGAGAACACAACGAGTAAATCTCAAAATCATCCCCACGACATTTAATAGTTGAACATCGTTCTTTTGCAAATGGGAGGGACATGTTTTGGGCTTATAATATGCCCATCATCAGCCAAGGTTTATAACGTTTATAGTCTAAACTTATTTTATTTTATTTATTTATTTATTGAACAAATAACTTCCAGACAGAATAGGCTCTGGTATAAGGAAGTACATAATTATATACCTATAGGTAAACATAGCATCATTCAAAATATATCAACAACTGTAAATTGGCAAACAAAGAATAATATTTGTAAAAAAAAATGGCATGATTAATTTTATCCAGTCCGCTGAGAAATAATCAGTTTTTTTACTTCATTTTTGAATATACCTATATTTCTGCAATTTTTTATATTATCAGGTAGTTTATTGAATTCAGTTAAGGCTGAATGAGTGAATCTTTTTTGTCCGATTAGGGAGCTAGCGGCGTCAAGATGGAACAAGTTATATATATTATCTAGTTTCATGATTATGAATTTCAGAATTCCGTATCAAAATAATATTCGACTTCAATTTTTTATTTATGATATTATATGATATTTTGAGAGTTTCAATTCGATATATTTCATCTAAAGAATACGTATTTGTTATTTCATACAATTGATTGGTTGGTGTATCAAATGGGAGACGATACAATACTTTTAACGATTTTCTATATAATGTTGATATTTTATTGAAACTATTTTTTGAACAAGATCCCCAAACATTTATTAAATAGTTGATACGACTCAGTATATGAGAGTAGAGAATCATGTTTGCAATTTTAATATCAAGTTTGGGACATCTTCTCAATGCACCAATAATTGGAGATATTTTTTTTGTCAGAACATCAATATGTTTGTCCCACTTCAACCTGCCATCAAACCAAATACCAAGATATTTTACCTGGTCAGTTTGTTTCAAGAGTTCATTTTTTATTTTAAGGTTGAGGTGAATTTTTTGTTTATTTTTTTGGTGAAAAATCATATATTCTGTTTTGTTAGTATTTATCGATAAAATGTTAGATTGGAGCCATTTTTCAAATATTTTCAAGTCTTCATTTATCATATTTTCTAAATCTGAAGGATTCTTGCCTTCATATAAAAGTACTGTATCATCTGCATACATGGTATATTCACATGCTAGACCAATTTCACTGATATTTTGAACATAAAGTAAATATAGTATAGGTCCTAAAACAGAGCCTTGTGGGACACCCTTATTGATTAATAGTTCATTTGACACAGAGTTGTTTGATTTTGTATTGATTGTCCTATTTTCAAGATATGAATTCAAAATATTTCTCACAGTGCCTCTGGGTCCCATTGTTTCTAAGTTTTCTAAAAGTGTTTTATGATCAACTGTGTCAAAAGCCTTTTTGAGATCAATGAAAACAGCTACCACATAATTTCCTGAATCAAGTCCTCTCTGGATTGAATCTATCACTTGTAACAGGAATATGGTAATAGATAATATTACTCACATGAGGATGAAAGAATGTTCTTCAAAGTTGTGAAATCTTATTAAATTAAATGGTAAACATGGTAAATTATTATAATATAAAACAGGTATTTTTATTTTGAGAGGGGCCTGTACCCTCTCAAATACCCTCAGGAGGTTTTCATGAAGTAAAAAACCAAAAGGTTAACAACACTTTATGAAAAACCCACATGAGTAGGACTTGAATGCACTAGAGGTTAGCTGTCACTGAAAAATCGAGAAATCGTAAGATCAAACTTCAAACTTCCGACATGGCATGAGATTAAAACTGGTTGAGTGAAAAAATTACAATCATGGGAAAAATTTGAGTTGAGTTAAGAACAAGTTATTAACAATGGAGGAACAAGGGAGAAGGAAGGATCTGAATCTAAAACAAACTTTAGTGAATTGAAAAATGTTATGCAATCAAAATTAACCTGTTCATTTGCGCAAATGGAATTATTATCCTTCAATGAGGAGTTGATCGCGAAGATCTCTAGTAAATTTAGTAAACGTCTTTTTTGACAAACGTGTCAAACTTCCAAATTCCCTTGAATATTGAAACTGTGTTGGGAATTCAAAACATGGGTTTTCTTCTAGTAATTAGTGTTTTCGCCTATTACAAATTATTTGTTCATAATCAATTCAATATTGAAATAAGATTCTACTCTTACGGCAGAGTACAGTTGATTTATCAGGGATTCATCCACCAATGGGAAAGTTTTCTATATTGAGGTTCTTATCTCACTGTGGAGTTTGCAAAAAATTGACATATACCAATTTTTTCTTTGTTTCGTAAGATCAAATTCCACTTCAAAAAAAAAATAAATAAAAGAGGAACTTGGCTCCTATGACGTACTTTCTGAAAATCCACATTCACACTCAGTTAAAATACGATTCGCTTTGTCAGTACGACGTTATTGCCGACAACATCATTATGACTAGATTTCCGGAAATTGTTCTTTGAATGCATAATAACTATATCATAACAGCAATGGGATATAATAGGTCCTTCAATCCTACTTTGTCAACTATTATGAAAAATTCCCATGTATCTCTCATTGGCTGAATGAAGTTGATTACTAATAAAAATAAATTATGATATTTTGCGACAGTATCTATAATTTTTCACTATCGTTATATTACAATATGTTATTAATAACTTGTCAGTCATGTTTTTGCTAATGAATTCGTTCCTTAACCATGGCCATGGATGTCGGCATCATTCTATTCTGACCGATGACAGTAAATAAGGAAGGATATATCATTGAATGTAACCGATAGTGATTCATTGATTCAATATTTTCGTTTAGGATCGAGCTCTATTCAAGATATTTCAATGCATAAATAACAAAACCATAACCTGTCAGAATGGAGCCAACTACCCTCTTCATTCTTGCCCCGAGTGCATTTGTGGGTTATGTATGATTTTGTTTACCAGTTTTGCTTCTATTTTTTACATTCGTTAGCTATTTTCAGACTAGATTCAGAATGTACGTCACAGTTTGCCGCCCCGAAAATTTAGAAATTGCTTTAATTCGAAAATGAAAACGACTTGGGCTTTATCGTTCGCCATTCTGTACAGCGTAGACATAAAGCTAGAGTTCCCAACTTATTTTATGAAAATTCATCGGAAGGAAACTTCTCCATTCTAAAGTGCTTCTTACCCGTCCATCCGAGTTCCCTAGCACAGAATTCACCACATAATCCGGCGGAGCTAAGCCATCGACAATCGCCACACTATCAGGCTTCAGCTGTTTGCACAAATCCAGAATGGCCTCTTTGACCCACTCGGAACCCCCACTCCCTTCCATGTACCCGCCCTGATAGAAATAAACCAAATGCTTATCGAGACAGCTGAGTCCGTAGAGCACCCCCAAGTCGTACAGGGTGGTTCGCAGGCTTTCCGGCGCGGAGGAGAATTTGTCCCAGTAGTATCGCAAGGCGGTGTATTCTGCGTAGGCCTTGGATAGGAGGGAGGCTCGGTAGACCTGAGATTCGTTGCGAGCGGTGAATTTGTCGAGACCGTTGTTGAGTATTTCGGTTTGTTTGGTTTCTGTGCGTTGTACTAGGTAGAGTATGAGCCACTGGTAGGAGTCCATTATGACTGAAAAATAATAGCGAATTATTGAGTCCATTCAAGCTAGGAACGGTGACTCAAACTAGAAAGACATGTGAATTGTGCTTCTAATGAATGTGTTAAAATATGCAGTAAATTTTACTTGAAAAAAATATTGTTTTCGTCCATGAATATATCTATAAAATAGAGACAAATAGCCAACTTTTCTACGGTGTTCCAGAGAAGTGAGTGACTTTGTGAGCGAGGCATCACCCACGAGACGAATTGCCCTTTTTTGGACAGAATCCAACAGTTTTAGGATATGTTTCGGTGCTGAACTCCAAATATGGGAACAGTATTCCAGGACAGGTCGGATCTGTGCCTTATAGATCATAAGCAGCTGACTGGAAGTGAAATAGCTCCTGGCCCGAAACAGAATACCAAGTTTTTGAGCTGCACTTTTAGCAATTGATCTCACGTGATTTTCCAAAGAAAGGTTATTGCTGATAGTAATACCAAGCATTGAAATGGATGTCTTCAAAGATATGGTTACTCCTGACAAGCTTATGTTCGGCACAGTGAGATCGGCTTTTCTAGAGAAAAGACATTCTTGTGTTTTGTTTGCATTGAAATCAATCAAGTTATTGGATCCCCATTCGAGAATTGTTGCCGAGTCCATATTTATGTTGTCAACATTTCTCCCTCGTTCGTTTCTGATTCGCCTGGCTGGTATTGGAGCCGTGGAAGAGAAGGTGGTATGGAGGGTACTATCATCCGCGAAGCTCTGTACTGGGCATGAAGTTGCTTCCAACAAATCGTTGATATGGAGTAGAGTAGGGGAAAAATCCCCAATTTAGAGTGCACTTTTCGTTTTGAAATGAATTTCTGGAACTAGAACAAACCCTCCACTTAAGGTACTCACACTTCTGTCCTCGCACATCCATCCCCGCAGCCCCGCACCGCAGCTGTCCGATCCTGTCGTGCTGCTCGAAGAAGCTGCAGCTACCAAGCGGGGCGGACACCGGCCTGCCCGCCTTCACGGCCTGCCACTGTCTCAGAAGCCAGTTGCTCGTCTGCTGCGCCAGCACGTTGTTGTCACCTGGAATCGCAAGAATGAGATGACGTTACTCAAAGGGCGCGCCTGTACTGTGGCAAAAGCAAGTGCAAGACCAAAAATTTCTTTGGAATAAACAGTGTACATAATTAAACAAGTAGGTGCAAAGTTTGAAAATTCTTTGATCTCTGAAAATGACAGCCAATGACCTTCAACCATAACCTGTCAGAATGAGGCCAACTACCTTCTGCTTTCCTGCCTCGAGGGCATTTGTGGTTATGTATGTTTTTGTTTACCAGTTTTGCTTCTTCTATTTTTTCATTCGTTAGCTATTCGATAGCTATTTGCTTGCTATATTCGTCACCATCAGCAATTTTCAGACTAGATTCAGAATGTACGTCACAGTTTATTGACGCCCCGAAAATTAGAAATTGATTTTATTTGAATATGAAAACGACTTGGACTTTATCGGTCGCCATTCTGTACAGCGTAGACATAAAACTGGAGAGTTCCGAACTTATTTTATGAAAATGCATCATTGTTATCACTAAATCTCACTTATCACCTTCGTACGTGACGCAGGGATCGTTGACGGTCCTCAGGTCGCCGAGCCTGGCCGCCTTGAGGAATCCGTGTCCCCCACACGCTTCTCGGCACTCCTGCGCTGCGTCTCGGCAGGCCCAGGTGAGCAGCGGCTTTGCAGACGAGACGAGGGCATGCATTTCTGACACTGTTGCGCTCTGAAACGAGAGTTTTTTGTTTAAATTTTTACTCCATGTGGCTCACGGTACCCCTATAACTTTTTTTTATTATTGAAGATGGAAGAACGGTATGTGGAGGCTGTGTGTTGTTCAATTCATATTTTTTGACATATTACTCGCCTTGCCGTACTTCCGGTTCGACCGGAAATTAGCCTAACTTTAGATTTTTAAATGGTACACCCTGTATATTTTTACTCATGTCGATCGGGAATGACATTCTGAATCCAACAATACCTCACTTGTCAATATTTGACAAATGAAGTCATTTTTATTACTATTTTTATTTTTCGATCTAGAATGCCATGCATGGATCGTGTAAATCGCTTCACCCTTGATAAAATAACATGTCAAAAATATGACATTGAAGCTTGTGACTTCACAGTCGTTGTAAGAATCATTTAAAAACCGCAAATATGATTTTTTCCAGTTAACTTTATTCTTTCAATTAGAAAGGGGATGGATGGCTCGTCGACTTTTTATAAAATGCGATCATATCTACTAACAAATGATACGTATACGGCATTCTTTTGCACAGAGTCCTGTTATTCTGGTTATCCGTGACAAACAATTGAAGCTGTTAATAAGACCTACATTAATCTTCAGTAATTACAGTCTGAATATTCATGTTATTTCTATTTGAAAATTATGAACTTTATATTGGAACTTTATGTGTATAAAACGTTATAATGAAAGATGAAATGAAATAATTTTAGTTATTTCATTTCATCAACTTATTCATACTCACCAGATCCTCCAATTCAGTGGAAGTCGCCGACTTTTCGATCACATCCAAATATGTTTCTGTGAATCCATTGACAAAAGTCCTTAGTACTATTGCTGCAGCCATATGCGGAAATAAGCGCCATTGCTAAAAAAGGTTCAATACTGCTCAAGTTTACATTTTCAGACGAAGACAATTTCCAGGTTTTTACACACTATATGTCGACTCCTAATAGTCCACTATTTTCAATTTCAGTGGTATTCAAAAAAATATATAGTCTGACATCTTTTCAGGGAATGTATACCATATTTCAAACATTGTCACTTTTCAATATCTCTGTATAAGTACTTACATGTAATTGATATTCAATAATCGGTAATTCGATCATATTGTTATTTCCTTCTCCATTCGGGGAAAATTGTTTCCTGATAGCAGCATATCTTATTGCAATGGTGACAGCACATATGAGATTGTTAGAAGATTCTTGCATAATACCGACACGTCCTAGAGATAAATTTTCCAGAGCTGCACCCAGTATCCTGCCCGGGTCTGTGAAACTGCTCTCATAGTCTCCCTCAGGAGTTACATCTGCAGTTCTGTTCAGCAAATTGTCTCTCGGTATTCTGTAGTTGTGGAACATTATGAAACTGAAAAGAAAAGTGACATATTGTAATACAAAAAATATTTCCTAACTATCACTAATTTGACTATGGGTAAAAAATGTTTCACACTGCTAATTTATCAAGTTTGAAGAATGGTTAGAGGACAGTTTACTGGTTGAAACCGATGTTTAGAGAGGGAGATCCACAACATACATAAAATAGGCTTTTATGATCCCTAGCGTGTAACACGCCTAGGTCCATAAAAGCATACATACATATACAGTATGGTGGAAATGTATGAAATTTTTCAAATTGACACCTCTTGATATACATACGGAGTTTGTAACGTGATCCGCGTAGTTGTGGTGACGTCATCGATTATTTTTTGAAATGGAAACATCCCGTTTTTATTTTATTTTTTCGGAAGGTATATTCATTGTCTATCCAATCATATACTGATATTAGCAAAGTGAAGTAATACAGGATGAGAAAAAATTATTGGCACATTATCGCCCGCCGGGCGGTAATATGCCACTTTACGCCCGCAAATCCGGGCAGTAAAGTGCTACTTTACGCCCGGTCGTGCATAAATAACTATTATGATCTCGGAGAGCAACGATCAACAATGAAACAATAAGCGACGTTTGTCATGTTACGCCAACATGATTTCGAAAAATTACGAAAGAAAATATGTATCAATATTTTTTGACGGATTCGCATTTCCCACCTCTCGTTCTAAGTCTCATATTCTCCAAACATTTAATTTTAGGGTTTCCGTTTCAAATGAGAAACAGCATGCACTCCAAAGTTTCCATAACCTTTTTTATTTATGGAGAAAGGCACGTAAATTCATTAGATACAAACCCATTATCAATTCCATTGAGTCCAATTTTTTCTCCCATGTCTCCGACTGTGATTCCGGGAAAGGGTTTGAGTGTTTTTGGGTTCCGAATTGGTACAACAAAAGCATGTAATCCATGACAGTGTTCCTTGGAATACAGTTGTGCAAAAAGTAATGCATTGACACATTGTTTTCCTAAAAAATAAGAAAAATCGCTTTTGCTTTTTTCATCATTTTTTTATAGAAACTTTCGCTTATTCTATATAGCACACGACATCCAGTAGACGTCCAGTTCAGGTTCAAATGATGTCCAAACGTCCATAAATCTAACATGGACGTTCAATGGATGCACAAGCAGGGATATATTTTGTAACGTTCCTTACTGTACGTCTTATGGATGTCCATTAGGAATACCATATTACACATTACTGAAACATCCTTATTTGTAGATTTTAGAACGTCCAAGAAATGTACGAATACGGACCTAGATTGTACATTTACGATTTTAACGTCTATGTACGTTCAATGAATCTACGATTCCGGATATATATTGTGAGTTCCAAATTGTACGTCCGATGGATTTTCATTAGAAGTACAATATTCGTCATCGTGAATCATCCATACAGGGTGAGTCATAATGAGACATCAAACTTCGTACACGGACTGCTGACTTCATTTTGCAAAATGCATCCTCACTGAGATACAGGGTGTCGAAAGTACGCAAAAAGTCAAGATGTCTCCTTGGATTTCTCAAAATTCCTCCAGAACCCTTGTAGCAGAAATTTGTTATTCCAATCTAGATTAATCAGAGTAATCACAGGGAGTTTTCATTTTTGAATTTCGTCAACCAGTGGCGTAGTAAGGGTCGTATGTCGCCACATTTTCATTCAAATTTTTCTCAGACAGATGAATTATTAAACTAGTGAATGACATCAGTTAGGATTATCAATACTCAACCTTAAAGTGATAACATTCTGCATGCATAAATGTAGAGGTTCCAGAGATATTTGCAAAAAACTTGAGACATGTCTTGATGTAATATGGATATAATGATCAAATTCACATAATCGACAACTAGTATCTCAAATAGGTTGCACTTTGAAACATACTTCAATATAAATTGTTCACCTCGAAATAAAGTGTGAAATAACAAGTAATAGAAGTTTCTCAAACTAATTCTGACTGAATGTTGTGATTTCTCGTAAAAGTTCAACATTATGCGATTATGGCACGCAGCGAATTGGGTCTCAACCTCAAGACATATCTTTAGTTTTTTGCAAATATCTTGGGAACCTCTACACTGAGGCATAAGACTAACTGATATCATACACCAATTTGACAAATTATCTGTCTAAGGATAAATATGAAGGAAAATTACTACGCCAATGGTTGTCAAAATTAAGAAATGAAAACTCTATATGATTAAACTGAATAATCTAGATCGGTATACCGAGTTTCATATCTTTTGCTACAGGGGTTCTCGAGAAATTCAGAGAAATCTTGACTTTTTTCGTACTTTCGACAGCCTGTAACTCAGGAGGATGCATTTTAGGACATATGTTGATGAACTATTCACCTCGACATGAGGTGAGGAATCCGTGTATGAAGTTTGTCGGTCTTAGTGTGACTCACCCTGTATAATGGTAATTTCAGAACGTCCAAGGAATGTTCATAATCGGATCCAGTTTGTACATTCACAAATTGTACTTTTATGTATATTCAGTGGATGTATGATTCCATATATATATTATATACGATCAGTTTCGTGCGTGCAATTATTGTGCAGTGGATTTACAATTCTCAAAATTATGCAACATCCATATTATGGCAGTTTTAGAACGTCCAAGGAATGTGAGGAAGTGATCTGGATTGTACGTTCACAAATTGAACATCTATTTACCCAATTATCTCAAGAATCTATCACCAGGAGGGTTCAGGAAGCATTTATTTAAGCTCCTTAAAAATGGATCCTTGGAACTAGTAGTCTAGTTATCATCCTTCTAGTAGTCTAGTTATCATCCTTCTAGTAGTCTAGTTATCATCCTAATGATGAACATTATATCTAATGGTACTGTTTATATTTTGTTTTGTATTAGTTTTTTTTTTTTTCAGGTATGAAATGATTGACAATTATTATTTCACCATAGTTATTTTCAAAGATATTAGCAGGTAGTATAATATATAATTTTTTTTCATTTATGAATCACTCGTATAATATATATATTTTTTTCATTTATGAATCACTCAAGGGTTGAATGGAAGAGCAAGCTCTGAATATAAGTCTCTGACGATGTATTCAGAATTTGAATTCTGCCTTTTGATAGTTACAAGTGCATTTTGCAGACTCGATTATATCTCTGTGAATATTCTATTATTTTTTTGTACTTGTTATACTCATCAATAAAATCATTATTATTATTATTATTTTTATTATTATTATTATCAATGAATGTACGATTCCGGGTATATATCGTATGTTCAATATTGTACGTCTTATGAATGTCCATTGGAAGTACAATATTCGATATTGTGAATCATCCATATAATGGTTTCAGAACGCCCAAGGAATGTACATAATTGGATCTAGTTTGTACTTTCACAAATTGTACTTTGATGTACGTTCAGTGGGTGTACGATTCAAAAAATATACATATAGTTCTGAGGAGAACACGGTTTGCGACACTGAACCGTTCATGGGGTATTTTACCTAAATTTCCTACCCAACATTTAGCAGCTTCAAAGTCTGGAGTATTGATGACAAATTCTTGGGTACTTGGATCATAAGTAGCCATGGTCCTCATTTGTTTTGTGTCACTACCATGAGCTACTTCAGTTAATGCCAAACAAGCCAGCATCTGAAATTTACAGATTATTCTCAATTCTCTAGTGTGAAATCGTAAATCACATGATTAGTGTGGAAAGTGACATATTTCGCACGATTGAATGTTTAGCAGAGCGGCGAGTGCGGAAACGAAACGAGCGGAGGAAATGCACTTTTCAACGAGTTTTGTACACTATTTTTTCTACGACCACAAGTATTTAAATTATATGCATCATGAGTGTTCATGAGTTATCATGTTTCTAGTCATATTTACATGAAGGTGAAATTTTGATTATTATTCTTTAATGTAACTTCAAAATTAACTTAACATCATTAACCTATCATTAACTCAATATTAACTTATCATTACCATTACATCAACTCAACATTGACTCAACATTAACTCAAAATTGACTCTACATCAACTTAACATTAACTCAACATCAACTTGAAATCAACTTAACATTAACTCAACATTAACTAACATCAAATTGTAAAATTAATTTAACATAAACCTAACATTATCTTAATATTAACGCAACATCAACTTAACATAAAATTGACATTAAATCAACATAAACTCAACATTACCTAACATCAACTCAACATTGACGACATTACCTTTATTATAAATCAACATTGACTTTAACAGTGACTCAACATTAGCTTGACATTAGTACGACACTAACTTGACATTAACTTAACAATTACTTAAAATAACCTGAATATTAAGTACAAGTCTCAGTGTAAGGCGAATGTAGTGTGAGACTAGCGAAAATGAATGATAGCAAGTATTGAAAAATATGATAATTCAGTATTATAATCATCCATACATCATGTACTCAGATCGAACAAAGTTCACGTGAGCGTGCGGGAATATTCCCACACTGTTCATTTTTACTTTCGCATTGCTATGGTCACTGTTTCTGTTCGGTGCTATGGTGATATGAGATACTTTCCAAGCAACAACACGCAGTGTACATTAATGCTTTCATAGGTGGTCGTAGGAAATTGATATTTACGTAACCAGTTGGGAAACAGCGGAAACGCGTTATTTTGTGTAACGATGGGATTTTTCGGGACGAGTCAAGCGAGATCCCGCAAAACAAAAAATGAGTTTCCTAACGTATCACGTACAATATTTTTTTCTAATTTTGATGAAAAATTTTGCTTGAACAGAAATAGTTACCAGTTCTACGAGTTTCACCGATTATGTACAATATTTCGTAGGCATGTTGACTTCGCCCGTCACTTTGAAGTATCCGTCAAACAATAATATGGTCAAAAATCAGCGACGAAATTCACGAAATAGACTGGTTTGATATCTTCATGATTGGAAATATCTTATGAGTTCAGATTTCCCAAGAGAACTCGAGGAAGCAGCACAAAATGTACTTATTCTCTTCGTCCATTCATATTTGTATTACGTAACTGGTATTGAAATAAAAAGTTCATCACCAGTTATGTATTAATTTACTAAACGCAACTTGTACGTAAAGTGAAACGTTTATTTACTTCCGTCTGTTTTGAAAAGTGTCAAACTACATGTGAAAATTATAAAAATATTTTTCATAATAATATTCAGAAACTAAAAAACACTCGTTCAAATACATATTCGAATCACATCACTTCTTTAGCCTTCAGCATTGTAATCATGACAATAACAACTCATTCAATTATGTTTAATTCAATACCTATTAGTTCTCGAACGAGTATGTTCCAGATACATCTATTCAAATTGAACGTCTTTATGGTTTAAGATTAAAATAACACATAACTGAGATGGCTGTATGAAAATATCTGGGACACCGATATTCATCCTCAAAATCAAAAAATCATATAAAGCGGCGAGCTAACCATCTGGGTCACCCGGTAAGGAATAAACCTACCTTATTACCTTCGTAAGCATAGTGCTTGTGTTTCTCTGTTCCCAATGTCAAAATGGTATTACTGAAAAGTCCAACACCCACAGCGTGCTTTACGGAAACATCTGGGAAAATACTTGCACAAGCTTCGTTTGAGGCCATCAGCAACCTGGTCTATGGAAAAAAAAGGTTAAAAAAGCAACTATACCGGTTGATATTCCACGGTGGTTCACCCTTATAACTTTTTTATTATTGAAGGAAGAAAAACGAAAATTGGGGTTTGTGAATTATAGTACAAATGACATTTTTTGACATATCTACTTGCTTCGCCGTACGGAAATGGCCCAACTTCCGATTTTTCAATGGGAAAAATAGCCGGTTAGGGAAGAGTTTAACGATACCGGGTTTGATAGGGTTATGTCAAACGATTATGAAGATATTTGCATTCGAAATTTCCATACGCTCAATGGATGCGACGCAATATCGAAACTACTTTCTCTGTCACACTCATTGAGCATAATATGGAGACTTCGAATGCAAATATCTATTCGTAATCTTTCGAACTAACCGGAACTAACCCTAAAAGTTGGGTTCATTTCCGGACAAACCTGAAGAATCTGTGCCTGAAGTACGGCAAAGCATGTAGATATGTCAAAAAATGCCAATTGAACTATAATTCACAACCCCCAAATTTCGATTTACTACCTTCAAAAATGAAAAAGTTATAAGGGTGAGCCATCTTGGAAAATCACCCGGTATAGGTAGGTAGATAGGTATTCTATTTCAATTTGCCAGGATGGATATAATATAATTATTCTCAATATTGGATATTTTGACAAGAGTAGAATTCAACCAGAGACCACAATAATATTCATAATGTCGAAATGATGTTCCGGCCCATCTGTCAACAGAGTCCTTTTTTTACTTGTAGTACCACTTCGCAACGGGTACGCGTAGGGGCCTACACGTGTTGACTAGAGATGCCAACATCTGACCCTACAGTGTATGACGTGGCCGCAAGGCCCTACCTTAGAAATCACGCCACTACATGGCGATAATATGACTAGATCACAGATTAAGGTTTGTTAATCTGTGACTAGATGATCATGCAGTATCCGCCGTATTGGGAATAGGTGATATATCCGAATCGTTGAGTTGTCCCAGTCCCAGTTGTCAGGAGACCGAGAGCGACTGATGAGGCCTGGTGGGCTGACAATTGGAGCAACTCTCTTCATCTACAAGCGTCTAGCCAGACCAGCGAATCTTTCAAATCTCAAGGTTATCAGAAGGTTATTCGTGTTTATAAGACTTATTAGAGGAAGGAATATATCTCTTGTGCATGAAAAAGAAAAGTACTTTCAACCTTACTTGTCCTAAATGAACCTATTTCCTGAAGAGTATATTTTTGATTGAGTGGAAAAGATTGAAAAAAAAAAACAGTCACCACCTTGGAAGTCAGATACACAGACCACTAATTACCACATATTTGATCTATCTAATTGGTCAGGTTAGCCGCGTGGTTGAAGCGTCAGTATTCTATTCATGATGGATTGCCGGTTTCTGGGTTCGATTTCCACGACTGCAGAATTTTTCTGATGGACTAAGAAAGTGTTTGGGATCACACGTTAAAAGGTAAGGCCCCCGTCATTCCTAGCTCGCTCTCTCGAAGACTTCTGAGGGTTGCTCGTAAGGAGGCAACCGGATGACGGATAGGAACAATTTTAAAACAATTTTTTTTTCTAATTACGGATCATTTATATATTGAGCTTGAAACAGAAGAATTCTAATCAGATATATTGTGGTTCCTGATCATTTGAGGCAGAAAAATATCATATACACACATTTTATATATAATGTTCAATCTTATACGAACCCTTTTTTTGTATGGTAAATCCAAATCTACAAATTTGTAATCTATGAACTTGCGTAACCTCAAGGCTGCTTTTCTTTTCTTCTCATCTGTACATAATTCTACTTCAGATCTTTGAAACAGAGGATCTCTCTCTAAATGTTTCCAGATAAACATCTGAAAATTGGTAGGTAGATTAATTCAGGAATAAAACATATCTCAAGTTTGTTATACCTTCATTCTCAGTAATTCTTCCTGTTCAAGGAACAGTTTCAGATTTTTCCAGTCAAACTTCGATTGTTTTCTGTAACGATCCAATGGACCAGGTGGAAAGTCCCTGAGAATGAGCTTATTGTGCTGGTCTAAATCCATTTTTCCAATATTCTCTAGAAAATCAGAATTTATTAATCAACGTGACAATTTTTCAAAAGGCAAAAAAACACTTCCAGATAGCCCAATAGATTTTATTGCACGTCGTTTTGGGACAACTTGTATTTCGATATTTAGGTTCTGCTTATCTGAGATATCTCTTGATTACATAGGTGACCATATATATTTTTTTAAATCATGCGTGTAGGTCTTATATTTTTATAAGTACATTTGATAAAATTTATTTTTTTATCTTGATATAAGAAATCGGCAGCAGATATAAATTCGCGTATTGTACGGGAGTATAGAAAATAGTTATTTATACACTAAGGTGACTAAGGTTGTAAAGTATATCAGTATTACCATGTATTACCCAGGGACCAAGATTATATCCAGAGGCTTCAGCCGAGTTATATAAGGTCCCGTGGTAATCGATGAAATCATCATCACTCTGGTCGATATATTCCATGTTACGATCAACACTAAATATCAATCACAATATTAATATAGCAACATATCCCATTCCCTCAAAAGGAAATCGGATGGATTCTGAACTAAAAAATCGAAAATATTCAATGCTGAACAGATCAATTATTTTCTGCAGAATGCTCCTGTTGATGAATATTTATTCATGAAGGTAATTTTTCAAATAACATACATACTCAACATTGAATTGGTGACTTCCTTTTTCTTTAAATAACAGGAATAATTAGAAAAGATCAATCTTCGAAATCATATTTATAAAATATCTACTAAAACAAATGATGGCTCAGTTGTTGAAAGCGCTGGCTCCAAAACCCAAAGGTCGGCGATTCAAAGCGCAAATGGAGAACTTTTTTTATTATTAAATACTGTCTGTTATTTTTAATAACGATTACAGAATCTCTCATTCTGCACTTTTAAAATAAATAACTATTATTAATGTTGATTTTATATCTTTATGTAATGTGTTTTTTGCTATCAATAAAGTTGTTTAGATATGAAAAATGGCTTCATTTCAGTTCGAATTGAGGAAAATGTCTCGGTATGCAATGTATCAATAAACAAAAACAAGAATTTGGATTTGTAACTTTTCATGCAGCAGAATTCCTTATTTGTGCCTTATCTGCACTACCCGCGGAAGAAAATATAGTGTAGTCGTAGAAAAAGTATAGTACAATTCTCGAGTTGTAAAGCAATTACGCACTTGTGGAGTTACACACTCGCCGCTATGCGGCTCGTGCGTAACTCTCTCCACTTCGTGCGTAATATGCGTTTTACAACTCTTGTTATGTAATATACTATTTCACCACTAGCGATACATATTTCATTCATTTTATTTCTGTAAAACTGAAATATTGTAACAATCAAAGCACTTCTGTTCAATTCGAATTTAAAAGTTAGTAACAATGACCATGACATCATAATGTCTTTATTGACTAGTGGTTCATGAATTGACTCGTGAATTGACGAAAACTACTTAGGTAGTAAAAACACACTTTACGAGTTACTTTTACCGCGGTAAAGTGCTACTTTACGCGCGGTCGTGTAAAGTAAATTAGCGAGTAATTGGAATGAATTAGAAGTATTATTCACCTGATATGAATTGCAGTGGCGCCACAACCATGTAGTTGTCAGTCAACGACCAGACTGAAGTTTGCAATCAGGAAAACTCATACGGAGCGCTCATAAAATACATTCAATTAGTAATTTTTTCAATTTGTTTGAATCTCGAAAACTATGATTTATTTTCATTATTGCCGCCGATATGCCAATCGTTACGATGATGTGTAGGCGACTCGGAATGGGTGAAAACTAATAATAAAATATGATTGAAGGCAATGAATCAAGCAATGAATAATTTATATATGGTACGTGTTATTATTGTTATTTGACGGTATGGATTATCATATGAGAGGAAATACAATAATTATACCTATTCATAATTATCTGAGTAAATTCCTAAATTTTATTTATACTAGACTTCTTATCAACTATAACAATACTCGTGTTACCATAATTGGGCAATATAGATATAGATCATTCACAAAAAATGATTATTATACCAAGGTGACACAAAGTCCACAAATGATGAGCAATTTGGAAATATTGAAGCCAGTAGTAATCGGCTGAAAATATTACAGGATGGTAACAATAATAATTATTGCCGCGTTATTTTTGGACTCCTCTGTGAAGATTTGGAGCAAGCCGCCGGCAACTTCGCCATACAAATATCCAACGCAAATGATTTTTCCCAATCTTTTGGAGCCGACGAAACGGAATCCCTATTTTTATCGTGGAACATTGCTTTTAGAGAGAATAGGATGAAGGGGTGTAGGGTGTAGGTATTGGATTGTTTTAACTTTATAGGAGGTTATAAGTTGGGAACACTACCCTAGACAAAGGATCCCAAAGCTTGCTTGCCGAGTTTATCTGTCTTGTATTGCTATTGGCGGAATGTTTGCCACGATTTGTATGAGGTTTGTTCTCCGTGGAAATATCTATAGAGAAGTAGAGTCGCCGACTTTCCTAATGGATTGTTTCAATTCAAATGATGTCAAGGAATTGAGGTTGCGAGTGCCTCAATACAAAAAAATCACGATTGAATAATAATATCATTTCTTTAATTGAATCGTATTTTTTTTATTTATATATAATATATTTCGAAATGTTTGGCAACATGCCGCGGCTCTCCTATGGGAACAAGGAAATTCGTTCGTCTTCATAATGTGCGGTTAACGCTGTGGATCTGTGGCGATCTGGCGATACTAAACACTGTTTTTGTTGTTGTAAACTATTTGTAAGTTTTCACACTCACCTACATAATGAATGTAAACAATTAGTTTTAAATGAACTATCTTCCTTTCTCTGAATTCCCTGCTGAGTTATCTGCTTCGGCGACTTGTTATTAAAACAATTTATAATGTGATTAAAATCTCGATTTGGAAAAACCAGTTGATTCAAATCATGATTTGAATCATTTTATTCAAATCGCCGCAAATTCGACATCTTTGAAAAAGTAAGGCGGGGTACTTAGGAAACCGGAAAAGTATGGCATGGTCAGCGTACATACATTGCATGGTCATAATCGGTGATGACACATTTTTCTCAGTCATTTGGCGAAAAAATTATCTTTACGCTAGTATTTCAAGCAAACATAAAAAAGGCACGTTTAATTCAGTATGGTGGACATTTGACACGTCACTTCGGCATGGCATACAACCACGACATACAACCTACAACTATCCTTCAATTCCCCCACATTAAAAAAATTGCGCAGCGCAAGACCGTCACCGAAGGGCCGCCATATTTGCCTTTCCCTATTTCTTATAACAGTTATAACACTACCAGCTAACTTCTCAAAAAGTTTTAGCGTTTCGCTAATCATACGTGGTTTTTCTTGCTGGCTTCCGGTCTATACCTGTATGTATACAAGGTGAGTCAAAAATGTCCACCGAGCTTTCTGGAGGTGATAGTATTGGAAAATAAGTATACTTAGTTTGATGACTAAACTGATGGCCTAATAAGGGAGATATATTTTTTTAAAGTTGATAAAGTTGAAATATGTTTCCCTTATAACTTCTAAACGGTGAAAGCCACCAGATTGGAATATTGATGAAATACATTTTTCCGAGCATTTTTCTGATATACTTCTAAATTTTTGATATTGTTATAAAGGTTGGGTCATGATTGTTTGAAGACAACGTCGTATTCTTTTTGGTGAAAAAAATAGAAGTATTTGATAGACTAAAAAAAAAAGTACAAAAATTGTTACCGCTTTCGGGGTATTTGTGTTTTTTAGTCACATGATAAACAAGTAGCAATTTAATGTAACGCTGAAGTGTTTGAAGAAGTTGCAACATAAATCGCTGCACCAGTTTGGTAAATCATTTTTGGGTTCTTGAAACGTTTCAACTGTAGGTAGTAGTATGTGGTATCGTAAACGTTGCAAGATACTTAAAAACTACCGCACTTTTTTTTTGTCGAAGTAAACTTGACATGTATCAATAATAATTTTGTTGCCTGGCAATTTGACGAACAAAACTGCCTCTGAAAAGATTACGAGTCCGTAGGACAGTTTTTTGAGTTGAATTACCTAATGGCAACAAAATACGAATTATAAATTTTTACTTTTCGACTAAAAATAAAGCTGGAGTATAATTCGGTAAGATAATTTAATTCATCAAACATTTTGTAGAGTAAGTTCAAGTGAAGTATTCCTGAGACAATTTTAAGAAATAAAGTCCATAATAATATAAGCTTGTGTCCGGAAATGCTTCATTTCGGAGATACAGGGTGTTGAAATACAAAGAACAAATCATTTTTCGATAAACATTTCATAGAAAAAAAGTAGTTTATTTTGACGAAACCCACCAAATACTTTTTTTTGTAAAGTTCTCAGCAACTTCACTTAGCGCTAGGATCGATATAGAAAATATCTCCAAAACGATAAACTCCAGCGTAATTGAGGCCCTTATAATAATTCCCTTGATACATAAATAACTATTCACTTTTCACTTTTGAATTTTGAATTTGATCGACACCGAAAACGCCATTCCGAACGCCATTCAATAATATATCAAGTTGTAGTTTCCTTGCTTTTCTTAGTTTTGTTTTCAAATTTTCAATTTCATTATGTAAATTTACGATCATTTCCTCTCTCCATGATTATTTCGTTCTGTATTTTTTGTGATGATGATAATGAAATTTTCTCGGAAATTTTATTCTTGAAATCGTCTGCTTTGTAAATTGATGGAATAGCAGATTCTCTCGAACAGATTTTGAAATATTCTGTTTGAAACTGGGCCTAAAATATAGTTTCATTCTAATCAGATGTTGTTATAAGAAGTGAATTTTAATGAGTACCTCACAAATTTCGCTAGTCTTCAAATTGATTTTCCACCCAGTCCGTTTCACATCTTCCTTCCATAAGCGAATGGTTGATATTTGTTTTGGAAAATTGAATAAATGATATCCATTTTTTTTTCAGAATTGGCACAATTTATTATACAGCAAGTGATTTCCATAGCTGCCTTTCTCGGAAGTGTAATTATGAAATTTTATTCCAATTCTGACGTTTATAAAATTTATTGTCAAATTAAAACAATTTTGAATGAAAAAGCGCGGGACGACTATGGTGTTCTTGTCACAATGCAAGGTGTGTAACTTAATAAATCTAAACATTCAAAAACCCTAACCGTTGTCATTTCTGTGTCCGAACTCTTATCAAACTAATAACATCCAGTGACTCTAGTTGAGACCGTGGTGTTTAGGCTCGTGTTTAGGGGTGCCCGAATGGTTGACGAAATCAAAGGGACGAAGAATAGATAGCTCAAAGTCATCTCCACGCTTTTTTATTGATGTAACAATCATTCGAGGGGACATGTCTCGTACTTAGAAAAGTCCATCTTCTGCCCAAGTAAGAAGTTCATGGCGGTGATACAAACTTAAATTATGATGCCAATGCCCATCGTCATAATTTTATTCAAAATTCAAAGATTAAATTGGTTTTCATAACAATGAAGGACCCCATGCCCTAAGAGCACATTTATTTTAATTTTTATTTTATTCGAAAGTTCAAGACCCATGAGCTTGAAGGGTAATAGTAGGACAGGCAATTATAAAGGGCCATGTGCCCTTGAAAAAGCGCAACTAAAAAACCAAATATCAATGAAATTTCTCAAAATTATATTGATGGGGCCAAAGAGGCCAACACATGTTAGAAATTCTAACCACACAGATCAGTAAAGGTGGATTTATGTTATGCAGCACAATTAATACCAAACTTCTACTTGAACCAAACTCAAACTAGTAGGTATAAAAAGCAATCTTTTATTTTGATGGTATTTTACAATTTAATGCAGCAACATTAACAAAAACCACATATGTGTATTCAGTGTAAAAATGCAAAGAAGAATAGGTGTAACATTGGAAATGGGCCATCTTCGTTTGCCATTATAATAAAAGTACTTCACATGGAAATTATTTTGGCAGAAACCAGGTGAAAGTATCGAAAAATGCGAAAAACATTTATGAAATTTTCTCGGAAATTTGACGACAATAGTTGCGCAGGGTCTCAAAATTTAACATTTACACTCGAAAGTTGAAAATTGGCCATCTTGACAGTTCAATTTTAGTTTCAATTTCTCTGCATAAAATTCACCATATCTAACAAGAGGTTCAACTTTTTAGTTAGATGAAGTGTTGGAGTTAAGTATAAATAATAAATCCAACTTAACCCGGAAATTCATTTCCGTGCCTGGGAGTCTATTTGCTTAGAATAACTATGACGTGTTGGCCTCAATTCAATTTTGAAAAATTTCATTGTTTGGTTTTTTAGTTGCGCTTTATTCTTACGCGGGTACAGCTCCCTTTATGATTCCCTCTATTAACTTAATGATGGTTCTTGTTGGCATATACCGATAGACATACTTATACAATATTTTATGAATGTTCTCACAACGTTCACAACATACCTCCTTCAGAATATTCCGAAGAATGTTCATAGAATATGATGAGGATGTTCTAAATGTTCATACAACATTTCATCCAAATATCCTAGGAACGTTCCTTGAATAATCCATTGTATTCTATGAATGTTATTTAATAACGATCATAGAATGTATT